ACAACACTGTGCAGATAATCCTGATTGTTCTGCAAAGGCTCGAGAAATGCAAATTCTTGAAATTATAGGGCGTAGGCGCTGTTCTCGACGAGAAGCCCTAGCGGAAATACAGACTAGAACTCAGGGGTATGCCAGTGTTGCAGCACGACATCTCTCGGAAATAAATGGGTCGATTTCCCTGAATATAGCGGAGGCCATAGAAAAGGCTCTAGAAAAAGCCATGGAACGACTGACTTCTAACCTTTGCGATTCTCTATCTCAAATTTTGGCTAACCAGATGACTCGCATGTTTGGTACAGCGGGAGAGTCAGGCCTAGTATCCCAACATGTTGAGAGTTCACGACCAATAGCTGACGGTGAATCTGAAACTGCGCCATCGTATTATCAGCCCGCAGGAGCCTCTGCAATAGGCGTCCACAGCCAAAATGAGGAATTTGAAACCGCACCATCGTATTCTCCGTCTACAGAACCCTCTGCAGTAGATATACAGAGTGTAAGTGAGGACAAAGCTGCATATACAATAGATTCCGATGACATGGATTTGGACCCTAGGTCCCTGAAGAGATCTAGATCCCCTGTGTCAAGGAAAACTAACTCACCGAAACAAACAAAGAACAAAAAGTATCTGAAAGAAAAGGAGAGCCTTTCAAATAAGGATTTCTTGAAAGAAAGCATTCTAGAGAAAGCTATAGCGGAAGCAGCTCTTTCGAAACCATAGGGTCGCTTAAGATTCTCCATTGGAATTGCCGATCAATCCATTCTGCATCTACGGATTTGGTATACTTGACTTCTAAATTCGCTCCTGATATTATAGCATTACAAGAGACATGGCTATCTGTACATAATTTGTTCCATTTAAATAACTTCCAATCTTTTCGATTAGACCGTCCATCGAGAGGTGGGGGTCTAGCTCTCTTTATTAGTAATAGAATTAGTATGAAAGTCAAATGCTCATACAAACATATGTCGCCAGAATGCGAAATTTTGGCAGTAGACATTACACTGCCCAACTGCACTCCTTTCACTTTAGTTAATATGTATTTTCCGGATGGAGTTCAAGACACACGAAGTTTAGATCTAGCTACAAAATCGTGGTGCAAAGACAAAGTTTTAGTTGGAGACTTTAGTTCTCACCACACGAGTTGGGGTTTTAGAACTGATCTTAGTGGGAAACGCTTGTGGGAGTGGACAATGGCCAATGACCTGACGTGCCTCAACGTCAGAACCCCCCCATTTATTCGTAATCACTCCAGGTCGGCCTTAGATTTAAGTTTTGTCAGTTCAGCCATTACTACTTCTTCTTGGAAAGCGCTGGACTGTGGCACCAACAGTGACCACTTACCGATAATTTTTGAAATTTCTTGTCCGATAGTTCCCTCTTGTTCAAATGTAAGAGTATTTGTAAATTACACTAAATTTAGGAATGACCTGAAGTCAGCACTGGCTTTTCACTCGAAAGAGAGCGACGATAAAAAAGCACTGAAAATAAACGCAGTCATTAAACGATCCTACAAAAGAGCCGAATTTACTGTTGAATCCACAAAAAGAGTATATAGCCGTTGGTGGAATGATGAATGTACAAGAGAGCACCGACGACGTCAGGCAGCTTGGAAGCAGCTCTTACATAATCAATCCCCACAAAACTGGGCCGATTATAAATTCATTGCTGCGGGCTTTAAAAGAACGGTAACTCAGGCTAAACAAGATTATGACAGAAGACATTATGAATACCTGTCGAAGCCTAAACATATGAAAGCACTGTTCCGATATATGAGAGCTCGGAAAATCTTGCCATCACCAGTTAATGTAGCTTGTGATAATCTGTCGGCACAAGAAATGACCACTACCTTAGAGGCAATCGGTAAAGGTCTGGAAAGCAGATTCACTTCAGTAGTGCCAACAACTGGCACAAGTCTACGACAAAGTCTGACTTTGAAGAAGTGACACAGACTGAAGTATCCAACGTGATTAAACATTTACCCTGTGCATCTCCTGGCCCAGATGGAATCACAGTACCCATGATTAAAATTCTGTTCAATTTATCGCCTCGAGACGTCGCCAATGTTATTAACTACTCCTTAAAAAACTCATGGGTGCCGCAGGATTGGAGGATAGCAAAGGTGATTCCTATACTAAAAATCCGGGTGGAGGATTAACAGTCGATAATATCAGACCAATCTCTCTAACATCTAACATGGTCAAACTAGTAGAGAGGGTCCTACATAGCCGAGTAAGTATCTGGATGGCAGACAATTTAGTAATAAAACCGAACCAAATCGGCTTTCGTAGTGATTTCTCAATTTGGTGTGCCCATGCTGATTTAGAGAGCCGAATACAGCTCGCGCGTAAAAGAAGGCAATACGCTGCTTTAGTAACGCTTGACATAGCCAAGGCGTATGACAGTGTGGAGCACTTCATATTGTTAAATACGCTAGAGAGATTGAACTTCCCACAATATTTTATTGAGTGGGTGGCAGAATTCCTAAAATCAAGAGAATTCTACTGCGTCAAGGATGGATGTTCCTCATCTAGATTTAAACAAATGCGCGGAGTTCCCCAAGGAGCAGTCTTATCTCCAATATTATTTAATGCTTTAATGAGCACAATTCCAACAGATCAAGAAGTTACTGTCTACATTTATGCTGATGACATCGCACTCTTTGCTGCTGACTGTGGTATTTACTCATTACAACTTAAATTACAAAGATATATTAACATGTTAGAAATTTGGTTGCAGTCGATTTCGTTATCGTTAAATGTCAACAAAAGCGCGCTCATGGCGTTTCCGCTTGCAGAACCAATTTCAATTTCAATTCTATATAAACAGGAACCCATCCAGCAAGTAGACTCTATAAAATATTTGGGAATCATTTATAATGACAAACTTAACTGGAGTCCACACATAGAGTATATAACTACCAAAGCACAGCGGGCTTCAGGCTTACTACACAAGCTAAGTAACCGGAAATATGGGTTACGGAGGCACACCTTGATAACGTTGTACAAGATGTACATGCGCCCCATCATGGAATTCGGCTGCATATTATTCTCGGGTGGCCCTGCTTATAAAACGAAACCTCTAGTTCTCTTGGAGCGAGAAGCACTTCGAATGTGTCTGGGACTCCCTAGATTTGTGGCTATCAACGTACTGTACCAGGAAGCGCGCCTGCCTACACTACTTTGTCGATTTCGAATTTTGACCGTACAAGCATTTTTAAAATTTTATAGCTTACCGGCAAGAAGATCTCAATATGCTTTTATCGCAAACCCAGACGCCTTCTTTCTTGCTCATTGGCCACGGTTTCACACACCTCAGATAATGTTTGTACAAAAAAATCTACAAAGTATAAATGTGAACATTAGAAATGTAATTGAGACTAATGACTCGAATTGTCATGTTATTATTGAGTATGATGATATATTCCCCCAAAACGCCAAATTACAATCCCTCAAATTTTTAAATAACATATTATTAGATTACTTGGAGCATGCAAAAACTAAAAATATAATAGCCACAGATACTTCCGTAAATAATCAAAAGGCAGGTGTAGGCATTGCCTCTGATTTGCTTGACTGGTTCTTTTCAGTGAGACTGCCTGATTTTACTCCAGTTTTTGAAGCGGAGCTCTTGGCGATTATTTTAGCTCTTCGAAAACTTCCATCAAATCAAAACAATGCAATAATAATGACGGATTCTCTTTCAGTTTGTGCAGCTCTGACAGCTTCAGAGAACTCTCGAATTCTAAGCACATTCAAAACATTAGTACCGCCGCAGTTGAGACTCCTGAGATTACTATGGGTTCCGGGTCACTGTGGATTAAGATTAAATGAATTGGCCGATTCCTTAGCACGAGCCGCACTTGATGGGCCAGTTTTGTCCATACTGCCAGATGTAGAATATATCATGGCTATAAGATATCGAAAATCAGCAATCTCCACTGATACGATAGAAAAATTAATTACATGGACAGACTATAACCACCTCATGTTTCCATGGCAACCCCACTGGAGTCAGTCCAGAAAGCTCGAAGTCTTAATTACTAAATTTCGATGTCGTGTCCCCCCCCCCCCCCCCCCCCTAAACCTGTATCTACACAGAGCTGGTCAGACAACATCACCCCTCTGCGCATTCTGCGGAGAAATGGAATCACTAGATCATTATTTTTTGTATTGTCGCCGCTACGAGATACTTAGAAAAAGGTTACTAGTTATGCCATTTCGGAAAATAGGCCTTAGATTGACGGCGGAAACGGCGCTAAGCTTTGGCGCCTCAGCTTTGGGACATTGCCACAGGGATGCTTTCAATGCCGTTTGCGATTATATTCAGGCAACCAAGCGTATACCTTTGTGATCTTCAATAAAAAAAAAAATATTTATTACTCTCAAGGACAGAGTGAAGTAAACGCAGCTGAGTGGTAAACATAACACCTCAAATCTCAAAATTGCTCAACTTGATTTTTTTTTCGTTTGCTCTTTTTATGTTGTTTTTATTTTTACATTAGTCTTATTATAATACCAATTCATTGCACATAGTTAAAATGATCACAGAAAAACTGCACTACACTTTCTTGGCCAATCCCCCTGAGTGGGTATGAGCCAACCTCCCAGGGAAACAAAACAAAACAAAACACTTGATAATGTTCTGTGAAGGGCTTCACCCTGTAGTTCAGGTTGATGGCGCAGAGTTTTTCAAAGCACTGGGGTTTGGGGACAGTGTGGGCGAAATAGACTTTAAGCGGGTAGAATTAACTAAAAGGAGGTTATCTGATTGGTGGCTAAAGTCAAGGCACGAGTGAAAATTGCACCTTTTATTGCAAAGTACGAATCCTCAACCTCACCATTTAAGGGAAAAAAAAATCTAGTTTTTGATTCGTTAAGTATTACGGCTTGGTGACGCTAGCCACCGCCTGATCTAAAGGGTACAGCCATATCCATCCATCTATTTATCCATTCATCTATCCATCCAGTTGAACAAGTTTTAAAAGCCAATCCAACAATTAGCCATATCCATCAGCGCGTGTATTGCTCGTGTTTGCTTCGTGATCGTCGTGCATTGACATTGAGCCCGATCTTCAATTCTGTGTGTAGCTGTTGTTTTGTGTGTTGTCAAGAAAAATGAAACGACAGAGCTCTGACAATAGGATTCAGGCAAATGAAGATGAGGTACGGTGTGGGTGAATTTGCGTTTTGCGATTTCTTTTTACCTCTTGACGACTGGTAACCGAAAGACCGTACACGTGTCGCCAAATGTTAGAGGCTTCGTGTGTAGCACACTGCGCGCAAGTTTGGTTTGTTCTAAACAGTGTGCATATTTTACTTTCCAGCCCTGCAACTGGAAAAAATGGCGTGCAGAAAGTAAGTACTACGCTAATGCTTCACTGTCCGTTCTTGCTTTCGTGACGCTGTCGCACGGAGATCTGCGACAGCTGAAACAGTCCGCAAGCAACGACATGGTTTGGAAGCATCCATCTTCTATGTGAACTAGCATTTTAGATACCAGAATAACTGGCAGCACTGTATTTTTTGTAGTGTTAATCGACGTGCTGCCTTGCGAAACAGCGCATGCATACTTGCGCTTTTGTTTTAGGGGAATCGTTTCCTTGACACGGTATTTTGGTGAGCTAGTTACATCGCATCGTCTGATTTAACTAGTATGGTGTCCAATTCGGTGTTGTTCTAGTTTTCTTTCGCACAGCGACTGTATGCCGGCCGAACCGTTCACTTGGTTTCTGCGTGGCCGCTCGCTTCGCATTAATTACAGCATTTCTACAAATATGCTATCAGCCCGGATGATGTTCTTAGAACTAACCATCACGTTCGCACGAGAGCAACTTGACTTACTTTCGTATTTTACCCCAGGAAAACAGCAGCTTCTCAAGTGGAGGGAAGAAAGGTTGATCAAAAAGCTCGAGAAGGAAAAGAAAGCGAAGGAATCCGAAGAACAGCAGGCCTTGTCCATGGATTCTCAATCGAAAGGCCGGAAGTACACCCTCAGCATAGCAGTTCCAGGTTCCATAATGGACAATGCTCAGAATGCAGAACTGCGAACTTACTTAGCTGGCCAGGTGAGGAGACACATAATCAAGTTGTGAACAAGTGGCACATGGGAATGAAACACTGTGATGCTACCCTGGCTGGAATTTGTATATGTAGAGCCGCCCATTTTTTAAACTTGAACGTGCAAGCATCGACCGCCGAGTCTGTAAGTGCCTGTTCCGGGCACTCTGGTGTTCGATTCCCAGAACAGCCTAGCAGAAGACAACTGCACAGGACTGTTCATTGCAGGCATGCACATATCATCATTCATTTCACCGCCGTGTACCATTAAACGCCACTTATCGACTGGGTAGTCGACGCTCTTACATTTAAGATTAAAAATTTGGTGCTGTAGAGTTGCAATCTTTTTAGAGTGAACACAGGAGTGCGTGGCCTTATTACTAGCACCATTAGGCAACACGTCACGTATGTTTGTGCGTGCACTGGGAGGGTTGTTTTCCGTTGCATGTATCACATCACCAGAGTGTTCTTGTGCCATCTTCTAGCTGCTTTAAAGACGATAGTCTTTCTTGGGATACTTGATGTGGAAATTGTGGTCTGTCTGTTTCTGTCTGTCACTCGATTCAGCTACCAGAGTGAAAGTTTAATCACTTGCTGAGCTACCACCTATCTCGATCTCCTGGTTGTGTTCATACTAGTGAACAGTATAGGTGCAACCTCAACACATGAGTATTATATAGTGTGTTACTTTATTTTTAAACTGCATATATACTTATTGTTATTGCAACAACAAGCGGTGGAGTCAACCAGGGAGACAGATACCACAGGTGGTAGCTGTCACTCTTCCACCCAACTCCTACCTAGCCATCCGTAAGCAGCTGCTCTACGCTCACTGTCATGACTGGTGGCAGTGATGGTGGTTGGAGCTCTTATATTACAGAGTTGTATTCAGATCACAACAAGAGCCCGATGAATGAAAAAGCGAGTGTTACTTACACTTTGCTAAAACGTTGCAGTGCTGCCACCCACCAGCTGCTCTGCGCTCTAGAAAGCTTTCATTTCTTGGCATTACTGCCAGATGGCGTCCATATGTCATGCAGCGTTTCCAGACCAAAGACAATCATCTTTCGACGTCTTTTCCAGTGAACCACACAGATGGGGGCCAATTTTTTGTCCTCGGTGGTTATCATATTATGATGGCAACTAAAGTTTAAATTCTCTTATTTCAAATGGTGTGTTTCGTGTGCTTTGCGTGTAACCCATTTTTCATGTTTTTCTTCCTCTTGTGTTGTTTAAGGCATATAATGTACAGGCCAAAAAACAAAAATGCGAACTGTTATTTGGCACACTTTTCATGGAAGATTGATAAGCTTACAGAAGTAGCATCAGGAAACTGCAATAATTTTGCTTGATATTAGTATTTTGTCTTGTCCCCATTTTTAAAAAAACACCTGCCATTCTAGAGGATATTGATGAGTATAGTGCTGGCACTATGATGCACTTGAACGTTCTCTCTCTTTGTGAATGATTACCTAGAGTTCATCTGCAGTTGCTGCGTAAACAGGGTATCACACTGTGGCTGCTTTCATATACATTGCCTTACATTTTCACAAATGTTTATGCCAGTCAGAAGAGTGCAGCAATCCTATGATTTTCTATCGGCTCTTCCACAACTTTTGCAGTGTATACCGGTGCCAGGTCACGCTAAAGCACAAAATCGCAGTAATATGCCCCCGTGTTCACTCTCAATAATCGCAGTAATATGCCCCCGTGTTCACTCTCAAAAAGATTGCCTCTGTACCACTTGCATATTGGGGCCATTATTTAGACTAGTTCCCTGTTTTGTACACCGGATTAATCATAGTGGGAGACTAGGTTCTTTAACTTGCAAAAAATGCATGTACAGGTCTTTTTTTTTTTTTTTGGCACAACAGGGTATCGCACCGTGGCTGCTTTTATATACATTGCCTTACATTTTTACAAATGTTTATGCCAGTCAGAAGAGTGCAGCAATCCTATGATTTTCTATCGGCTCTTCCACAACTTTTGCAGTGTATACCGGTGCCAGGTCACACTAAAGCACAAAATCGTATTAGATTTATTCGTGAATCAGTCGAATGTAATTGCGAGTTTTACCACTTTGAAGGACACGGCATTCTTACTGCAGTACACATGGAGCAGATTACATGCTCTTGCTTGCTTGACGCAATGTCAAGCAAGCAGATATATTGCATGCCGGACGCACTGCACTTGAATGCTTCTTGCTGCTGTCGCTGAACAGTGCTGGGAGCATGGAAAGTAATATGCCCCCGTGTTCACACTCAAAAAGATTGCCTCAGTACCACTCGCATATTGGGGCCATTATATAGACTAGTTCCTTGTTTTGTGCACCGGATTAATCATAGTTGGAGACTAGGTTCTTTAACTTGCAAAAAATGCATGTACAGGTCTTTTTTTTTTGTTTGGCACCTATCAAAATGAAAATTGAACCAAGTTCAAGTGACGCGAGTATGAAGTGAGGGTTACATAACATAACAAACTACCAAAAATATTTATTCCAACATATCTTAGAAAATTTTCCAAAATGTAAACCTAATAATTGTTGCTCGTGCTCCACATTTACCCTGCAGAAGGATAGGAACAGTTGTGGCAAAACTGTGAGAATTTTTTTTTTTTTGCCATTGGAGGTGGTTAGATATGCATTGAAGGCTAACTGCGTATTTTCTAGCACTATAGCTACCCAGATTTAAATCTCAATCTGTCTGAGGCTTTAGGTCTGTTGAGTGTTTTTTTGTCATATTTTTAACATTATTCTTCTGTAAGTTAAGGGAAGTTGATTGATTGATATGTGGGGTTTAACATCCTAAAACCATCATATGATTATGAGGTACGCCGTACTGGAGGGCTCCGGAAATTTTGACCACCTGGGGTTCTTTAATGTTCACCCAAGCTAGGTGAAGTAGTTTCAGATAATTTTTTATATGTATTTAGGAGATGCTGTGTTGTTTCTTTTCGTATTTTTTATGCATGTGCAGTCATAAAGTAACAGAAAAGCAAACACGGGCTAGTAGTTTTATCGCGAACAATGAAAATTTAACAGTTTTACTCAGAAGAAAGCATCAAAAACTTAATTTCAAAATGCCAGCATAGGAAACAACAGAACTGTCAATCAGTAGGCAATCAATCATATGTGAAATCGGACTCTGAAATGGGGTTGTTAGAAAATATTGTTGCAGAAAGCAATCTTTTTGATTGTGTAGACAAAGCGAAACATGCAAGACAGCTGACAAAAAGTTCAGTAGATATATGCGTGTTCAGAGTAATTGATTTCGCTGGCTCTTGTAGCAGTGAAATATTGTGTTTGTGCCACTTTGACATATTATGTTTTGAAAACATAATATGTCAAGGCATTTAATTCAATGACATTGTAACAGGGAACCTGATGATCTGGTCAAGACTTCACAGAAGTAAATGTCCCAGAGTTACTCCCATGCTGCCTATGTATTCAGGAATTACTGTGGCAGTAGCTGATGGCTTTTCTTCTTTATTACACGGTAGAATTATATGTTGGATTTATTCATTTAAGCTACCTGTGTTGCTGGGGTAGTAGGAGTGTCACAGTTGGTGTACTATATGTTATTATTTTTAATGTTAGCACTTATTTCATTAAGCTACAACTTTTTCATCTGTCGTGCTTCAAATTAAGAATATACTGAAACTGTACTAGCATATGAAAGCTTGTGATATTCATGCCTTGCGAGCCTTACACCGTGCTTTTAAAGTTTATGATGTCAGTCATGTTCATTAGTTAATCTGGGTTTAGTAATTATAAAATTTATTTTCTTCAGGAGCTCTTCCTCTCTCCTTTCAGATTGCAAGGGCTGCAGTTGTTTTTTGTGTGGATGAAATTGTTGTCTTTGACGATGATGGCTCAACTACACGGTATGTTTGCACCAGTTTGGATGTCACCAATATACATATACTTGAAATGATCTTCAATGATTAAATTTAGCATGCATTATGCCTGTTACTGAAGAGACTCATCTAGTATCCTTGTTTTGATGGACACTAGAAAATGACGTGAGAAATTGTGGTCAGAATCTAGGGTTCAGCATTATTTGACATTTTCCTGTGAGAAGGGTGCGATAGATTTACGGGTCCAAGGCAGATGATGCTTGCTTGTTCATCTACACACTGAAGGAGCTTTAGTTTATATTAAGCAATCTAAAGTGTGTTTAAACATTACACACTCATTTCAAGCTCTTGAGTGGTCTACAGTTTGCTCGTCAGCATTATTAAATGTACTATCATGCACTCACACGTGCCTCATTTTATCGCTGCTTCAGCAAGAAAACCATTGGTCTTATAAATACTGTGGGACAAATTCTATGGTGGTATATGCAGTGTGTGTTTGGATTGGTAATGTAGGAAAAACCCCAGCTGTACTGGTATTGTTTGCAGTGGTACAAGCGGGACTGCTGTGGATGGAGAATTCAGTGGCCTTGCTAAGTCTGGTCAGGGTGTGGTGCAGTTGGCGCGTGTGCTGCAGTACCTTGAGTGCCCGCAGTACCTGCGCAAGCACCTTTTCCCCTTGCATCGTGACCTGCAGTTTGCAGGATTGCTGAACCCACTGGACTGCCCACACCACCTACGTGCCACTGAGGAGAGTCCATACCGTGAAGGAATTGTGGCTCGGCTGCCTGTTAAAGGAGGCAGTGGGTCATACGTCAACTGTGGCCTCAACAAAGAGGTACTGTCATACTGACTTGTATTTGGGGTCATTTACTGAGTTTCAGTGCTCTGTTCACTTAGCAGATTCATTGGTACAAGGTTTAGCAAGGGAAAAAAAACCCGGCTATACAGCAACAGCCAGCTAGTCTCTTTATATTATTTTTAACAGGCTGTTGATCCAATCTTGTTAATTCATCTGGACATCCTACTGACAATAAAGTTAGATATGCTGCTAAAATCTCTATGGTACGGTCAAGTGCATTACTGCAAATGTTGGTGCAAACGGGGTTGAACTCATAGTGAATTCGTCACGTGTTAAATTGGAAAAACAAACATGTGCGCTTGAACCTCAATAAACATGTTTGAGAGGGTTGCAATACAGCATTGCACAAATGCAGCCACACTTATTTTTGCGTGCTTTTGCACTTTATGGGCTTTCTTTAAATACAAAAAAAAAGTTCCACGGAGGAGATATATTGTTGTAAAAAACTACACTGGTTGTTTTTGAATGCCACTATCATGTAAGAAAAATGTGGTTAGTCTTAAGACGGATACTAATACATATTTTCCTGATTCAACATAATCAATTAAGTAGAATGTAAAATACTCTCACCCCCATTCAAGAGGTATCCTTCAATCATTTTAGGGATAATGGGATGAATTTGTCCCGCTTTTTCTACTTCAGTAAAGATTTGTCGACTGCTTCCTGTTGCCGTCAACTATATGCTTTTTTTTTGCTTCAGTGTATCAGAAACATTTAGGAAAACATGAAAACATATTTGGCACATTTGCGATGCATGGTATTTGTGATATTGAGTTTAAATTCATCGTTCTGTTGAATTTCTTTTAAAACTGCCGTCAGTTCTAAAGTTATAGTATTTTTTTTTCTCCTCTGGATCTTGAGAGAAGTAATTTTAGCATGCAAGTATACCGTATTTACTCGCATAATCCTCGCACTTTTTTGCCAGAAAACGGATGCAAAGTTGGGGGGTGCGAGAATTACGCGGGAAAACTTTCTACGAAAACTCAGAGAGCGAAAAAGAAAACGAAATGGCTGTATATCGGAATTCTCACAAAAGCACCTTACAGCAAGCTTTAAGAAGTACTAATTAGAACTTACCTCAACAATAAAATCAGAGGTTCAACACAAATGGAGGCGGAAATGTTGTAGGCCCGTGTGCTCAGATTTGGGCGCACGTTAAAGAACCCCAGGTGGTCAAAATTTCCGGAGCCCTCCACTACGGCGTCTCTCATAATCATATGGTGGTTTTGGGACGTTAAACCCCACAAATCAAATCAGAGGTTCAACACAAGGCAAGATTTATTTGAGACATGAAAATGGAAGCAAATGGTCGAGAATTGGAATACCATACGCGAAGCTTGTGGGCATTGCAGGCGTAGAGATAACGGTCGGCACTCAGAAGGAGCCCTCAAAAAGTAAGCGTAGGACGTCAGTATTGGGCTGATGGCTATTTAACAGAATCGTCCGCAGTTCCCTTCTGAAGAAATAAAGTTTACCATCAATCCCAGTTTTAGGCACACGGCAGGCCCAACGCGTCTTGGTGGCTTTTAGCTGCCGTCACCAGTAGCGAACACTAAACTCGTAGGCTCCGAAGGGCCTACCGGCGGCGCTGTTGCCGTTGTTTAGCGCATGATCTATCGCTTGCAACTTGAAGCAGCCATGTGGCTTCAGATCGCCCCATAACGTGCCAAGATTACCGACACAACACACAAAACACGCCGCAACGCGCACTGGCCACTTCGGCTTGGCTTGGATTGGATCTCCGTGCAATACGTTTGATGCTTAAGAGATGGCGCCAGATAGTGTGCGCTATCATCATCAATGGCTGTAACGAGCAGACGACATTATTGCGGCAGTTTTCGGGGGTGCGATAATTACTCGAGGGAAAAAAATCATATTTTTGGGGGGCGATGTGGGGGGTGCGAGAATTATCCGAGTGCGAGGATTACGCGAGTAAATAGGGTAGTTTTTTTAATTGGAGCTTTAAATCGGCCAAAAATAGTGTTAGAAGTGCGATTGAATGAAATATGAAGCAATTTCTTGCTTAGCCTAACTACATAACATGCACACGTAACTGTTTTTTCAAGTTTGATAGTCATTATTGCTTAAAAAAGCAGCATTTTACTATGTAGAAGGCGCTCAAGTTTTTTTTTTATTCTTTTTTTTTAAACTACGAAAGCAATGGCAACGAGACCAAAAGCTCTGGCTGAGACGCTCTTTCTGAAATTGAGGGCCAAAGGAAAGGAATGACAAAATTGATGATTTGGACAACCAGAAACAAAAAAGAACATGAATGTACAAGATCTGTGAGAAAAGCTAATTTCTCAGGCTTGGATAGAGTTCACATATCTGATTCAGCAGTTGTAAATGCACTTACATTGATGTGGCCTGCTTTCATTCATGACAATCTTATGTATGGGAAGCAATTTATGTATAACTAAGATGTTCATCCTTATATACACCAACTACAGCACTGCACGAGCCCAGCCCGCGGGCCTGGTAAGGCATTGTTGGATCAAGCCGGGCTTGGGCCCATGGTTTTCGGGCGCGGGCTTGACTTGATTTGATTTATATGTGGGGTTTAGGGTCACAAAATCACCATATGATTATGAGAGACGCCGTGGTGGAGGGCTCCAGAACTTTCGACAATTTGGGGTTTTTTAAGATGCACCCAAATCATAGCACACAGGCCTACAGCATTTTCGCCTCGATCGAAAATGCAGCCGCTGCAGACAGGATTCGACCTCGCGACCTGCGGGTCAGCAGCCGAGTACCTTAGCCACTAGACCACCGCGGCGAGGTAGGGCCTGGGCTTGAGTCAGGCCCGTATTAGGCCCGCGTCACATATACATGGTGTTTCAAGAAATGCGTCCGATGTTATTTAAAACTTACAGAAAGGAAGCATATGCGTGCCACGTGCGGCGTTCCCTTTACTTTTGGCAGATGGCATCTTCAGATCTGTACAAATATTAATTATGACTGTAATTAAAAAAATTAAAACAATCATCAAATTTTACACAATTTAAAACAATAACTTTTCATTTAGTGTGTTTTCGAAGTGAATTGTAGGTGCACTGTTTGGTGGGTCAGTTTCGGTTTCGCCAGCTAAATTAGTCGGATTTCATCGCTCTGCGGGGATCACCAGTGATCGCTTTTTTAAAATTTCTAAGTGGCTGTAGACTATTCGTAGGAAGAACTTTGATTCGCCCATTTGACTCGACCGTCTATTTTTATTGGTGAAAATTTTAATTGTTTTTATTTCTATAATTACTGCTATAATTAATCTTTCTACACATAGGAAGATGCCTTCTGCTAAAGTAAACGGAATGCCGCAGGTAAGGCGCAGATGCCTCCTTTCTATAATATTTAAATAATATTCGACACATGAAACCCTCTTTATATTGATATAATGGCGTGTCTACGCTGTTAGGTTTTGTTGCTTTGTGGGGTTTAACATCCCGAAGCGATCGAGGTTACCTAAGATGCTGTGGTTGAAGGCTTCAGCTAACTTAGACTACCTGGAGTGCATTAGCATGCACTAAAAACGGAAAGTACAATACCTCTAGCACTTTGCTTCATCGGTATATCCTGCCCATAATTTCAAGAAACTCCCAATATGTTTCTATCATTATATTGAGTGAAAGACCCTCTAGCAAAGCATAAGGAAAGGTTCACCAGATGGTACTGCAACAACAGCAACGGTAGACTGCTAACGTTATATAGTGTATATAAGATGTGCGCGCTTGTATCTAGGGAAAAAATTTCAGTATGCAGATACGCTCGCATGCCTACCACGTTATTTTCCGTGTGCATGCTTCGTAGACTCGTCGACACGACTTGCGAGTCATGCATATCTCCGGAGCTGTTGTTGGTGCGCTTTAAATGCGAGATGCGGAATGATTCTTATCGCAGGCACGCAAATTGACGCAAGTGTTGCCATTTTTTTGTGCTAGCCAGGCAGTTAGCATTTGGCAATTAGCCGGAATTAGAACAATTTTTTGCTTATATTTACGGTTTTACAGCCACCTTCGTGTTTTTCGTGTTTCGACAGTACAGTTGACTTTCGTTAATGCAAACTCGAAGAAACCTCTGAATTTTGTTTCAGTTTTCAAGAGGTTTGAATTATCAGAAGTTCTCAGATAGATGACTGTGGGTGAGGTGACGCCACACATGATTAGGCATGGACTTTATCACACTGTAAAATTTTGTAGGTGTCTTTAACCCTTAACTGCACGTAGTAAAAAAAAAGGATAGGTGTGAAGTCTATAATTTTATTGGCCATTTACTGCCGATAAGAACTTTTAAAGAAATCGTTAATTTCTAACTACTTTATTGCGCGTGTTTGACAACCGTATGCTAGAGAACGCGCGAGAGAGAAGGGAGACGCCCATGTCGTCTGCTACGATGCTCATTGGGAGCAGCCACCACGAACGTCATTTCCGCGTTCAGTTAGAATTTTTGCTGTTTTTTTTTTTTTCTGAAGCCGCGCCAGCAGTCAAGGCCGCCACGGATTCGCCGGTAGCGCCTGTACTGAGAGCAGCTGTGTGTGTGGTGTGTTTTGTGAATCAGATTGCTTTTGGGTTGTTTCCGAACTACTGATACCGTGAGTAAACAGTCTTGGGCAAATTGCGTAGGCGGACTGCACATACGACGTATTTGCTTGCCGCAGCATCGCTAGCATCAGGACCCGCTTTTTCCCGTAGGTCCCGCAGCATGTTCTTCACGGCTCTTAAACGCATGTCAAGCTTTAATCCGGTCGGCTCATTACGCTGTTGCAGGCACGGCCGTACTTCACCGTTCATGTTTTGAGCAATTTCGAGGCTACCGAGGGTCTTGCCAACATAATGGATGCATATCATTAATAATTGCGAGTTTAAACTATCAATTGTTCATAATACGCCACAGTTGTTTTTTTTTTTTACTTGCAGCGAGAGCGGTGCAAAAACGTGAAACAGTTGTTCAATCACTGGGTATGTCCTGTTTTAAAATAAACTGCCTAGTTACTTAACATTGCAGTGTCGGTTCGTGATGCCTGTTGCAGTTTTGCGGACTTTGTGCAGCAGTTGTTCTTCAAAATACTGCACATGTCTAACTTGCAGGTGACCGTGGGTAATATTTGAAGCAAGATCAGAGAGATATGGCCGTAGTTGCAGTGTAAAACAAAAACCAGATTTGACAACATGTGCGTGGCTCCCAACTGTATCACTGTGATGGTACTGAGCAGTTTACTACAATGACGAATAGAAAAAAAGATAGATCACTGGCAGATGGTGCAAAACAAAACTGAATGACAGTTAAGGCTAACTTTAGTTTTCAATACATTTCTGCAAGAGTATGTTTGTTTATGCCAGATGTTTTATTTGTATTACCTCCAAGGCCTGAGGGCACCGCAGGAGCGAGTAGAAAATTCAATGCACGCAAATAAATAAGCCTTCGTAATTTCTAACTTTACAGTGTTACCTATATGGTTGCGTGCTTCAGAGAGGATCAGGTGTTTTATTATAAGTAAGTACTAACCGACAGAGAAAGTAAAAATTCTGTGAATAATGTCATCGGCTTCCTCCTGTTTCAGCAAAAGTTTTTTTTTTTTCGTTGCCACCAACTCACTTTATTATTTCTACGCTTCTACGGGAGGGTGGAAAGAAAGAAAGAAAGAGGGAGGGAAGGAGGGAGGGAGGGTAATTAGACACCAGTCCAGTTGTCTACTCTATGCTGGGAAAAAGGGGTGGTAATGACTTCATTTTGAACGATATCATTAAAGCTCGGTTTGACTGTGTACTTATGTGGAGTTTCAAAAGGTGTGTGCATTACATGTCTCCTGTAGTTTCACTTGTGACCTAATGAAGGGCAATGCATAAGCTCTACATAGCGTTTTGGTGTTTGGACTTTCATTGGGCCATGCTTCTACTCCCAGCATAGCACACACTCATCACTTTATGTTATTCTGCTGCAGGTGAAGATAGACCGCTGTTTGCAACCAGGAGTGCGAGTTACAGTGAAAATGAAAGAAGGGGTCCCTGGCAAGAAGCTGCGAGGCACTGCTGTGTCACCATCGTGTCCCCGAACAGAAGCAGGCCTCTATTGGGGCTATGATGTCAGGGTAGCTCGTAGTCTTGGGGCAGTCCTGGCCGAGTGCCCTTTTCCAAGTGGCTATGACATCACCCTGGGCACTTCAGAACGAGGGACACCTGTTGATGAGCTTGAATTGCCTCATCGGTAAATATTCATTTTAGGCAGTACCATAAAATTGTAACCGTTCTAAGAGCAAGTTTGTACTAGTGACACTTGTTTTTATGAGGTCTTAAAACATGCAATTCTACACTACGGTACATACGAGCTGGTTTTGTATTATGCTCACAACACTTAGGCTGCATATAACTGCCAACTGTTAAAAATAATACATCCCAAGGTTATGGTGTCGGTGAAAATATGTCGGTGCAATAGAAACAATTATAGTTCTCTTTAGGAATTATATTTCTGTGCTGGCACAGAAAATTGTGTAAAGATTACATTATAGTTTGCACACTGTGATAGAGCATTGTAATAAAAACAGCTTACATGGCGTTAGGGATTGTCAGCGTGCTCTAGAAGCGAACCTAGCGTGCTAGTCTGTAGTGGTTAGAGAGACTGTATGAGCCAAGACAGCAGCGATTGCAGCTTTTGAAAGAGCTGTTTCTGTGTGTGGCCTTTGATGAGAGAGTGCGTTTCTACCTCTGTAATCAGCGATTTATGAATGGTGGTAGGCAAAGTTCTGCATGTAGTGTTGAGTATGAAAGAGAGGTCAACCTTTAATAAACTAGCTTTCACAATACACTGTTGAAATGAGGAAGGTAGGGGCTGCTTTGAGGAAGGTAGGGGCTGCTTTGGTAAAAGCAGCATGTCAAGAAACAGAGCTAGCATGCACTGGCAAGTGTACTGGTAGTTTTGTAGATGACATTATTGTGACAAATTTTTGAGTAACCGTGTGCTAGTAAACATTCTACTCAGTATTGGTTTTATACGAGACAAGTGACTGACTCGAGGTTACGGTGTCTGAAAAAGCAGGTGTGGAGTACACCGAGTGTGGGGCAGCACTCGCATGTGAGGCAACCGAGTGCTTCCTCACATGAACATTAACATCTTCTGTGCCATGTTCTGCATTTTCCATGTTCTGCATTTTCCATGTGTTTTGCCATGTTCTGCATTTATGCATTTTCGAATGAGGCGAAAATGCTGTAGGCCCGTGTGCTCAAATTTGAGTGCACGTTAAAGAACCCTAGGTGGTCAAAATTTCCGGAGCTCCCCACTACGGCGTCTATCATAATCATATGGTGGTTTCGGGACGTTAAACCCCACACATCAATCCAGTTCATTTATTGCATGGAAAAGACCGAAAGCGCAGATGCTGCTTCCATTGCTGAATGCGCCATATCATTCTGTGAAGCAGAAAAAAGTGGCATGCATGGGTAGCCTCAAAAAAAAAAGGACATGCAAGCCTGGCTTTCCGAAAGGGTGTTGTGTGGAGCAGCGACAAGGTAGAGGCGGAGCTTATGAAGCTTGTCAAGAACGCACACGCATGTGAAGATTGTGTGGACTGCAATGCAAAGGCTGCTGGTCACCTCGTTGTGCGCCTACCTCCCTACCACTGCTGAACCCCATAGAGTTCGTTTGGAGTGACGTTAAGGGCTCCGTAGCTGCAGCAAACAGCACGTTTAAGCTTTAAGACGTTGATACTTAGCTGCGGCAAGGAATAAAGCAAGTGACCGCTGAGAAGTGAAAATAAAGCTTCAGATTGATCAATTCAATCATTTGTTCAATTATGGCTCATAAGAACTGGTAAAGATAACAATAGAAAAGGTCAAGCTAGTTCATTGCAATGCTGGTTGTCGCGTCTGAAAATAAGCAAAACAGATCAAAAAGGTACCAAACATCATCTGCTATGAAAATCAAAAGATAGTATATAGTACACCTACTTCCCCACAGATGGGGCCACCTGACGAATTAACAGATGTGACATGTGCGTAGGAACTGTTGTGACTCTCGTCCATGGGCGCCATGCTGGCCATGAGAAGCATAGCCGGGCTGTGTTCCCATGTCCTGAAACTCCAGTGCATTTTTCTCGCAATGAGCTTCAAGCGGCAGGAAGCAACAAAGGGATAATAATGTGGCGACTTTGGCGGTCCGTGAGCCAATATCCCTACAGGCATTTCCTCTATGATGACTTGTTTGGAGTGGCAGCGAGCCATACCGACTGCGCACGTCGTATCTAAGCGATTAAAGTCTCTGATCCTTTGCTGCCGTTCCAGGGAAAGACGGCAGGAAGCACTCATCTGCCAACTTGTTTCGTAAAGGACCCCACTCCATCTCTTCAGTGAAACTGACCGGAGGAGCATTGTGTCAGGAGGTGCAATGACTATTCGGCAGCCGTGTGTTGTTGGCTGATGCCATGGTGGGTGGCATCATGTGTGTGATTGGTGTTTCAATCAAGGAGGAGTAGCCCGAGAGGGCTCAAAACGACGCTGCAAAGTTCTGTACGTTGCTCTGAAGCGTGGTGTAATGGTTCATCCACCACACTCGTGGTTTGCGGAACTCTAACCTCTTATGCTGTAAATAATTGTAAATAGTGCCAGTAGACCTGTTAGTTTTTCGAATCCCCAACTTGTAAGCATTATTCCTTCTACCTGGAGTTGCTCCACGCTACCGGAGTAGTTCAGGTCCGATGAAACCCTGACGTCTCAGCAACCCATGTCAACGGGGATGCGTCGGGTAGACCCAGTCCGCAACAGAACACACTTATGAAGAGCGCTCTATCATGATTTGTTTGAAGTGCCCGTACCGTCCACAATGCTGCCAACAGCTTGTGAAGCGCAGTATAGGACCTGACTGGCGAGAGCATCGCGCGGATGTATCCATAGCATGTGTCATGCAAATTCAACAATTTTTTTCATCGGTATCCAGTAACTGTTCTAACAAATGGCTGCCTTGAACTCTGCAACTTTCAAAAATTCATCAGGCACTGCTTAATTTGCCTAACTACTTTGGTTAAAAAGTCACATAGCCTCAAATTCTTTGACCAGTTTTTTTTTAAAGCTGCATGTAATAGCTTTCAGTTTTATTCCAAGTAAGCATAGAATTTCAGAGAATGGTTTATAAACCACTGTTGTTTTTTCTTTATTCTGCTGATTATCTAGTACCTGTATGGCTATAGTAGATTCGTGTAACGACAGTAAGTTGTTTCCTTTGTTGCAGGTTCGAACACGTACTTGTTGTGTTTGGAGGCCTCAAAGGCTTGGAGGCAGCCCTTGAAGCAGATGAAGCTCTGGATGTTGACGATCCTGAATTCTTATTCAACTATTATCTAAACACATGTCCTAGCCAAGGATCAAGAACTATTAGGACAGAGGTATGTCTGTAGTTTGAGTAATCTTTATCTCCAATTGCTATTATGGATAAATAGAAAGTCGAATCCACTCAATCAAATCTTTGGGATAAGTTTGTGTGCTTGTCTAGGACATGCAGCTATAATATGTAGGGATTGTTGCAGAGGAATAAGAATTGTGCTGGTTTATGAAATGTGTTCATGTTTTAATTGTGTGCTTGTGGCAGTGAATATGGTCATAAAAGCAAGGGTTGAAGCAGTGATGGTGAGACTATCAATTCAGACATAGTATATGTTTGACCTTGTTACCTGAATTGAAATGCTTGATTCACAAATTGAATACTTCCTGCTATTAATTTTTTTTAATACTCCAGCCCTTGTCAACTTGAACAGATAACAGATTTTAAAGTATCAGTTAAGTAGAACTTCTTTTTTCATGCCATGTTGTCAACATTATATAGTACCACAGATTTTCCCGCTCACTTTAAATCCAAGTGCCAGCTTAAATAATCTGTATGCCATTTAAATAATCTGAAAGCCGAGCTATTTAATCCAAGCACCAACATATTTAATCCAAGCGCCAACTCAATGAGGCCGCGTGCCAGTGAGTTTAATCCAAGTGCCACCGTGTTTAATCCAATTGCCAATGACTTTAATTCAGGTACCAGTCAGTTTAATTCATGCACCACAAACACATATAGTTGGTTATTTTATATAGTATAAATGTCAGAATAATGTAAACATGGACTCACAGGAAGAAACTTTTCCCTCGCCTATACATGCTAGCGCTTATGAAATAAAGTGCAGAGTGGTATTTCCCCCTAACATTTTTGGTGTTATAGCTTCAAAATTTAAAAAAAAATGTGTTTACTAATTGCATTTATTGGTACTAAATGTATTTGCTGAAAGAGTTCATGTTAGTCTATGTTTCGTCGCTGCTGCATTATTCCAGCTAACTATGTACACCATCGCATATGCATGGATTCGTGTCGTTTGCTCGGCAAACAGAATTTGGCTACTTATTCGCTGAGGCATTCGCGATCGTCTGCTCAGTCCGGTGAAAACAATGGCAGCAGACTGATGATATTTATTTATTCTTGAAATCAGAAATAACCATTTAAAACTGAACTTACATTTATTTTGGTTCATGTAAAATTGAGTTTTTTATATAAGCATCACCAGAGATACTCCTGTTTTCATGTAAAAGATGACGCTAGTGTTGCTGTTGCTTGAAGCACGCGTTTATCGAATACACATAACTTTGTTTATGATGAAATGAACATTCATGTTCCGAAACAGTGTTCCCGAGCTTGAATAAAAGGTAGCAGCTAATATGAATGTAAAATATGACTTCCGTTTTTTACATCAGGATCATGAGTTTACGTCTTATGTGCACTGCAGGACGAAAATGTCTTCAAATTATTTCTAATTCCCTCTGTCCTGTGAGGGCCCCCTAATTTACTGAGCACGTACCTGTGTACCTGCTTTTGATTCATCACTGCCCATGGCCAGGTTTACCATATCTTGGTGTGCATTCCAGCACTCTAATAAACATACTATGTTTCTCGCATTACGTGGCCTGGCCCGGTCATGTAATGCTATACAAATCCAATTATGAGCTTTCATAATGAACATGAAATATTTGTTAACATGTTACTGCTTTTCCTTTCGTTGCCATTAAAACTACTCCACTCGGGCTAAGCACTCATCTACAAACTTGCACATAGCAAAGTATAAGCGCTCCAAAAGCAGCTCAAGCGAACCGCAGTGGTAATTTTTTTTTTCTAACTAATAATAGTGGCGAATACCAATAATAATGATTTATTTTACCTTGCGACTATTGTCTTTATATTGTAGGAACTTCATTTCAATTGCAATTCCATTTTTACGCCCCGTATTCCGCTTTTTGTGCATGAATTAAACTGTCTGGCACCTGAATTAGTCATTGGCAATTAGATTAAACACGGTGACACTTGGATTAAACTCATTGGCACTTGGATTAAATGCTTGGCACATGAATTAAATAGCTCGGCGCTCAGATTATTTCACTGGCGAGCAGATTATTTAAGGGGGGAGGCTACCTTCGAAGGGCAACTTTTTTGTTTGTTGAGATATCTTAATGAAATTTTCACGGTACACTAATAGCAAAGCCATTTGAATAACCACAAAGTTTCATGCAGTTATGTTCACTGGTTCCCAAGTTACAGCCATTTATCAGGGTAGTCCACATGGGTCCCTTAGTCAGGGTCTGGAGAATTTGAAAAATGTGCTAGCACTGTGAAATTCACTATGATGATTCCTGGATAGGTGCTTTAGGGCAAGACAGAGCCCTTTTTTTAAATTTCTCTGCCAAAAAATGTTAGCAGAGCACTGAATTTAGTGTTCACAATTTGGCTCTCATCAATGAAGTTTTAGTTAATTATTACAAATTACAGACACAATCAATTGAAAAAGGGGGCTTGTCTTGCCCTGGGCAATTTATTAAGGTGCATAATAAAAAAACCTGATAGAAATCAGACCAGCAGTTCCAGAGAGATCACCTGACTAAGCAGCCTCACTGGCCAAAAAAGTCATTCTGAGAAAATTGACTTCGAAAGTTTCAAACATTTATTATGGTCTAAAATGACCCTGCAGAGTAGCTAGATGTGTCCTTAGGCTCTCTTTTTCTTTGCCGCTTTTCCTGCTTCTCATTCATCCGTTTCTGAGCCTTTCTCAGGCGCAGAGAGTCTTTCTCTGCAGCTCGTTGAATGGTTAGGTGGCCAGGTGTGAGTCCCACTGATGACGAGAACTCTTGAGTGGCCCTGTAGCAGCCGGCATTATACCGCAAAACTGCGTCATGCAGTGCTGTCGACAGCAATCAATGATGCATGTTGCTCCTTGGGCATCAAGGACCATAGGACAGAATGGAATGACTCCGATGAATTTTGCGTCTTTGCTCCCAGGCAGCGTTGCAGTAGAGAAGCCTGCGAAAGGCGCTAGTAGACTGGCAGCAGCGCTTCTGCAACGTAGCCCGGAAGATTGTATTTGTGCTTTGGAGGTGGCACGCCATTCCCCTTGCAGGCATTATGACGGCCCCACGAGTCTGCACCTACCGGGCACAAGTCATGGTGAGGATCCTCGTCAGTTGAGGTGACGTGATAATATGACGCCATCACTGCACGCTGCATTGCAGCCACATTGTTTGAATTGTTCCGCAGTGCCCAGCCATAATAGTCTGTGAGTTTATCAATAAGGGCTTTTGTCAATCTGCCCTTCCCTCCCAGAGCCTGTTCGCTTTTCTGCACAAGATTACGTAGGGCTGTGCCCATTCTCTTCCGGACATGGTTCAAGCATTCTTCTTTCACAATAGGGACTAGCCCATAAACATTGTCTTGTTGAAGGGCAGAGAATGTGGCGCTGTCCCCATCAGATACAATGGTTGTATACCGGAATTATGCTTGGACAGTGAACGTGAGAACAGAGTTACAGCTGCTTCAACCTCCATCCTCCCAGACTTGGCATCAGTGTTTTTTTGGCACACATGGTGCTTCAACCAGCTTGCATAGCCCTCGTCTTCAGGCTTCGGTCCTACCTGGCAGCCGAGACACTGATTCGATAGAACTACAGCATCCAAGATGAGGCCTGTGTGATACTCGATGATTGCACCAACTCCAATGTGAGATGTATGTCCGCACTTATGCCACGTGCCATCATAGTTCACTGTAATGTCCTTGCAGAAAGATGGGTCCATCTCCTTGTACACCTTTTTCACAGCAGAAGCCGATTCTTCATAGAATTTATCCAGGGTCTGTTGCTGTGGTTCTCTGAATTGCTTCAGGTGCCTCTGGAAAGTTCTGTGGTGCAGGCCACGGTGGGAAACATTCATAGTTGCCCAAAAGTCGTTGAGGGCTGTCTGTCCCTTCCCTATTTGTTTCATGGCCGTAATGGCTCTTATATTCACGTCGAAGGCCCTTGACTCGTTCTGACGAGCAGAGCTCCACGAACTTGAAACTATTCCACAATGTGGACATACCAGCTCAAGCTTCGTGGCAAGTCCAAGCTGGGTGCCTCCTTGAACTTTCATCCCGGTCGCGAGGCAGCAGCGGGCACGGGGTCTTGGACAGCATGTCGCTAAGGGCATCCCCTTGCACGAGGAAATATCTCTCGCCTTCGGTCGTAGCGGTGGCAGCTTCGGGTTCAGGCATCATCGCTTGAAACTTCCTCTCGGTCGCTGGCATAGCGCCAAGCTTTCGTTGCACAGCAGCACGTTCTCTCTCCGCCGTCGCCAACTCCTCGCACAGTCCGAAAACGTGTTTGGATGTGCACAGTCGACGACGCGGTCTCACTGTTCGGGGCCGGCAATCGATGCGGTTGGCGAGCGCGACACACCAGGCGCACTTGAGCACGAAACACCAGCCTCACTCGTCACGACGGATCCTTGTGCCGATGGTGTAGAAGTCTCGTCGCTAGAAGCGTCGACGCAATCGTCTTGAACAGATGAAGCGGAAGCATTGGTGCAACTGTCGCCGCGCGTGGGCGTGCAGATGAGCTTCGCCTTGCGTACGAGCTTCAGCTGACGCTTTCTTGAACTGAACGCGTGCCGAGTCTTGAACTTCGAAATGCCCATCGTGACCGTCAGCGCAACAATCCGCGTCCCGTGAACACGGCAGAAGATCGTCTCGTGAGGACGGTAGTGATCGTCTCGTAAAGACGGTAGAAGATCGTCTCGTGAAGACGGTGCCGTTGTCAGATAGGAAGGAGGCACGGCGCCGAAACGCTTTGTCCCAGAGTCACACTTAACTCATCAACCCATCATCATCCTACGTCTGTCCCGGCACCGCCTCCCCCCAGGGTTGTGTGGGGGGAAGATTTGTTTCGGGCAGACGGCCATGCCCTGGCAAGGGGGCCACCGTTCGGCGCCAGGCACCAAACAGACGTGGCCTGCCTCCCGGCATACAAGCCAGGGAGGCCTGACAAAGGGACTACCCTCCGGCGAAGCAACTTCAGTCGCAACGCGCAAAGTGAACGTACCCTGGCAGGGTGGGCTATCGCAGCGCGTAGGGTGCGCTGCGGTCATGGCCCGTCTCTTGACCACTAGGGCCCAGAGAGACTCGACACAGGGGCTACCCTTCGGCACGGTAGCTCTCGCCACCACACGCAAAGTGGACGTACCCAAAAACATGGCAGCTGGACAGCCCTCGGTTGCGGTAACTTCAGTCACCACAACCAAAGTGCCCGTGCCCTCGCACTGTCGCGCGGCTGAGAGCCTGCGACGACACCCCTTCAGGGCGGATGGGCTATCGCTCGGCGCGAGGCGCTTTGCGGTCATGGCCCGTCTCCTCACCACAAGGGTGCAGCGAGACACAATCCGTCCTGTCGGGTCTACGGGACTACTATTTGATGCAGAGGCCAGTGCCGCTGCACGCAAACCAAACGTACCCACGGAAACCGGCACGGCTGAAAGCCGGCTTAGTCCTTCGCGAAGAAGGGAGCCACCTTCCGCCTCGACGAGTAGAGTTGCCGAGCCTACAGAAGGGGCCAACTCGGACCTTGCGGGTAAAGCCCGACAAGGTGGCAGGATCACCTTAGCACATGCGAAGCTCGGGTGAAAGACCATGCAGACCAAACTCGGGGGTGACTGGCTCACTAGGCCTAGTCGTGGAGCCTTAGAGAAAGCCATCATTAAAAGTTGATGGTTATCTGCCCTCCTGCCTCACTGAAAATCACTGCCGGACGGTGCCACGTCTCGTAAAACTTCTTTGCACCTAGGCGCTGCCACTCTCGGTGGAGAACGAACCAGACCTCCTTCCGTACTTTTGCAAGCACTTCGTGAAGCTCGGGTCGCTTGCCGTCAAAGACGGCACAGCACCGTGCAACCCACACTTGGTACGAGCACTCAACAAGCAGAAGCACGTATTGCTTAGCCGCTTGTCGCGACAGGGGATGGAGAAAACGAACGGTGTTGAAAGGAACACCTGGGTGGCCAAACAAGCTAGCTATCCTTCGATGGAGGGCAGCTGGTAGTGCACACTGAGAGAACACGTGAACCAGGTCCTCCATAGTGCCACAAAAAGGGCACGCTCCTCGTTGAGCAATTCTTGTGAAGGGCCTGAACCTTAGAGGCAGGCGATCTCTGGCCAGGCGATACATGAATGTAGCACGCTTGGCGTCCAGGAAACTGGTGAAAGATAGAGGAGCACGTGTGACGACCTGATCGGAATGATAGCAAACGGGGCACACAAAGAACGCCGGCATTGCAAGCGCCGGTGCAGACGACGAGCCGGCTCCTGCCGGAGAAGCAGCTACGTCATCGCGCGCAGCAGCCAATAGGAGCCGCGCGTTCCCCCATTCCCTCGAGAGGCGCGCGTTTTGTCCAATCGCGGCTTCGCATCCAGGCAGCGGGACATTCGAAAGCTTCCGCGAGCCCCCCAATCGTGAGCGACTCCCGCCTCGGAGCGCCACCGCCCCTGCCGCGGGTGGCGAAAAAAAAAAAAGCGCAAGAATTCACGAGCAAAACAACATCAAGATGGCGGCGATCGGCCGAGCGGTTGGGAAATGGCGAGCGCGCGAAGTTGGGGTATTTTTGGCGCTCGCTCGCCGCTTGCCGGCTGCCGCGGCATGTTATAAAATTTATTTGACGTACTTTCGCGATGAATTAGACATTGATATTTACAGTAGAGGCAGTTTATGAGTCATACTGCTCGAGTATGTGGTTTCCAAAAAATCGACTTTTTCGCGATTTTTCGGTTTTCGAAGGGCGCGTCCCCCCTTAAGCTGGCACTTGGATTAAAGTGAGTGGGAAAACCTGTAGTATTCAAATTGAAATCTACTACTACTTGGTATTCACACATGCCTGATGAAAACAGTTGGTGCAGGATAAATTTAATAAGTGTTAGGTCAATGCCTCTGTTTATACAGGGTGTTTCAAGAAATGTGTCTAATATTCTTTAAAAATCAGCAAAAGGTGCTATTTGCTCGCTGTTCTCAGTTGCTTTTTCTGTAGCGGCGGGCATCTTGGGTTGGTTGAAGACATCACTTAAAGAAGTAATTATAAAAGTTAAATTAATTGACTTTTCAATTAGAAGAGTTAGGTAGCTAAGTCTAATGGGACAATTGAAGTCATTCACGCGAGGAATCCATTGCCGCTTTCAGATTTTGTAAAAGCGGCCTCTAGCAATAATTGCAAATTAAGGAAATTCTCCCAAATACTGTGGCGAAACCGAAACCAAATGTCCGATGAGCGCAACAAGCAGACAACTACAATGACTTCACTGTTCAAAACAGCGGTTACGGGGCTGCAGTTCTTCCCATTTCGTTAACGTATGTGCGTCATGCGTGCTGTAATTGCAAGCGCAGCACACACCCACACTACGAAGTTGGTTGATGGTTTATATAACAACGCTCCCTCATTTCGGACGAATATGGCAGTTGTGCTTTTAATGTTTCGGTCTTACCGCAGAAAAAGCAACTGTGAAGACAGCGAGCAAATAGCACCTTTTACTGATTAAAAAAAAATTTGAACACATTTCTTGAAACACCCTGTATATATGCATGTACACGTCATATGGTCAAGCATATTTATAGCAGCACTGTAGTTCTATGCAAATTACATTGTTATAACCGAGTTTCAAAGCACTCTGAAAATAAGTCTAGTAGTTGGGGAGTGTTTCTGCTACACAACAATAATAGTCATCTGCTTCAATTACTTTCCCGGTGCTATCACCACGGTTCCGGTAGTTCGCGGGACTTCAAAAGGCGCGCGCGTTATCAGTGTGACATATCATTCCCGACAGGAAAGTGGCCAGTGCTGAGTTTTCAAGAAGGGAAATGCGAGCAAGTCAGATGAGGATTATTGTTGTGTAGCAGAACTACTCCCCGAACACTCCATTTTTTTCTTAAAGTGAGGAAAAAGAAAAAAAAAAAAACAAGACACATGAGGTTTGCAAAGAAGCTGGCTATATAATATGAATGTGACACACAGGCAGGTGTAGCAGCTGGCGTCTTTTTTTTTTTCTTTCTTTACTTTACTAGCATTTCAAACATTGTTTTTTTTTTTCTTGCCATAGAGCCATAGTTAGTTACAACTGATAATGTGACATGGGAATGTAGTGGGTTGTTTATTATTTCAGCATAGAAAATTCACAAGAGCTTACAGTGCAGGGGCTGCTTATTGTCATACTATGGAATATAAGTTGTCAAAACTGGTATTGTAAGTGGGTTTGACTAGCACCATTAATGTTTAATTATCATGCAGGAGGCTATCCTCATTTCCCTCTCGGCCTTGCGACCCAAGATTGTGGCTGCACAGAGTGGCGATGGTGCTGTGGATTCCTCCTGAGGAAATGCTTCACTCATTTGGTGTGTGGTCCTGGCACGTACATGCATGTCATCTCCTGTTGATGCGACGAAACTTGTTTTTGTCGATCTTGTCGAAAAACAGCAGCCCCGCTGCCCTCTCTATGGTATCTAATGGAACCTGAAACAGAGTGTGTGATTATGCAGTGCACTATGAATAAGATGCTGATAGCGATCGGTACTGTACAGTCCCCTACCAATAGTCGTTTGGACATCACTGATTACTCAAACAGTCCACCTCATTGACTAATCCATAAGGATGGACAAAATACAGTGTGCTGTGCCACTGTATAGTAGCCATTGACAATGTCCAGACCCTAAGTTTACAATTTGTCATACGATCATGGGCAACATGGTGTATCCCTCACATGGCACCAGTTCTACTCTTGATGTCTATGGCAGGCTTTTACTGCTATAAATTCAGGGAAGATGCACTGCATGCACTCTTTATTTGTATCAACGGCATGATAGTGGTCGAGATATGGGCCACAATTAGTGTGTTGCGATGCTGCTCGCTTGGTGCCACTGTTCATGGCCTAGTGATCTTGTGTGTAATGCGGGCAGAGCACCGACTAACCATAAGAAAGCATGAAGAGGTATAATGTAAGAAAACTTATCGCTACAATGTTGCAGCCACACAGATATTGCTACGTACCAGCGGCATGGAGATGAAGAGGACAAAGAAGATAGATTGGCACAAGCTGATCTGTATTGCTGGCGCCGCTCACTTAACTGGCTGTAAATATATCTGTGTCTGCTCTTCCAAGTCGGTCTCCTCCTAAGTGTGTGTGCTACAGCATGGAGTTTATATATAAACTTTTACTGAATTCCTGGATGATCACTTTCGAAGGTGCTTTTCTTTTTGCATGAGTAACACAGAATGCATTGATGAGCGGCAGCATTTCTGGCAGTGTGATGAGGCAACATATTTCAGACTGCGCCGCTAGGAGTTTGTCTTGTGCTATTTACATTGCATTGATGTCATCCCAAAAAAGCGCTGATTCGAAAATATGGACCATCTAATGAGTGTGCCAAAAATACACACCTTTATTAGGAAGAAGGGAGCGCATTTATAGAGCAATGTTGCTCATTATCTTGCGAATATAACACACAGGACTTCTGAGTACAGATTTTATTGGTCGGCAACTCCCGATGTGTTATGCTAGTGATACAGCAGTAGCCACCTTGTGAATAGTTCAGATTCCACCACCAGGTGTGATGGCAGGGAACCACTGCTGTATGGTGCACCTATGTCATTTTGTTGTGGCACACAGTGTCAATAAAAACAAAACTGTACAGTGAAATGGTTATTTCCTTTCTACTGATTGCATCTGCAGTGCTGGTTATTTAGTGTCGATAGTTTCTCAATATAGTACAAACCACTTATAACGATCCCAGATATAACGATGTATCGGTTATAATGACCACACTTCGGTGCACTTACAATTTTCCAATGCTACCCTTTGAAACTCAGTCCTGATACAGTGAACGCTTTTCAGCGCCTCCTACTTTTACAACAAACACTTGCGACGTGGTCACGGTAAAAATACAGCGCATACGAAGCGCAAAAAAATTTTTTAACAGGCATTCAGAAGCATGCGATAGGCGTGCTCGCGTGTGCACCACTGCAGTTTGCTTGCGACGGAAGATATCACAGAATGCGGCGAGCACCGCACGCATATTTTGGATGCTGCGAGCAAGGTGGTTCACTTTCCAGACGTTGACGTTTCTTCACAGGCAAACGGGAAGTGAGGGGAATAAAAACCAAAAGAAGAAATAGGAGGCAGCATAGAAAATTGAGGTCAGCTTTCGCACAGCAAACTTTTCTGATGCCGTTCTCGTTATCTACGACTGCCAACAATAAACCAACAATGCCTTCGAACGCAAGAAGCCATAAATGTGAAAAGTGATAACTTTTGTCTCGTTATCAATTACTACATTTTCATTACATTATCAGTCCAGATGCTTGAACTGAGCACTTTGCACGTTTAAAAAATAGAGGGGAACTTTAGGCAGCTTTTCTTCTCGTTCCAGAAACTGGTTGTGAAGGCCAAGCCTGAATGGCAGTGTGAAAAAGCAGCGGCTACCATACTGGCAGATTATCACATTTCCACTGCAAAGAACTGTTAAGTTGATCTTAGGCTGTAATGAAGTAGCTTATAAAGAAATGAAGGCAACTATACTCCATCTTGAAAGTTTCCTTCAGTACTGTGGATGCTACAAGGCCCCTTTGCCAATTTGAAGGGCGATTAGCCCCTCCACATACATTAATCTGTGCCACCTTGGCTATTAAGCGTCTCCCTGGCCTCTGTGCCCACACGTTTGGCGAGCAGACTGAAACACAGAAAAAGCACATGACTGCACCCATTGACGCTGGTGCCCTCCACCTCAAGTTTATCACGTCGACGTGATGCGCTCTGTGGCCCTTAAGTTCCAAACCGACGCTTGTGCTTGCTTTAGATTTACGTCTTGGCACTTTGGCAGCAATGTATTCCTCACTACAATGCAGCATTTCCATAGCCCGTTGTCAACTCAACACATTGGGCTTGACAGCCATGGTCAAAGAAACAGTTTATCTTGTAATAATGGCAGAGCCTATCTGATGCTTTGTCTTGATCATGAAATGGCATAAAGCGATAGATCGTTACACCATTCATTTGTAGCTGCGAGTGTCTAATGCCAGCATCAAGGGCAAGTTTGAATCGAAGTGGGTGGTCTCATCTGCACAGGCACTGCCATTTTGATTTTTATCCCCTGTAATCAGCGGTTTCTGATACAACAATTAAAGAAATAAGGCATAAATGAGTTGAATAATTAGCATATTAATACTAATCAATGTGCAAGAACAGATGCTAAACAGGGGCAAATGTCACAACCGTGCCAACTGCAAGGCAAATATATCTGGAACCATGTTTTTTATACGCAAGCATGTGGCTTGTTTACACCTTATAGCTTTGGCAGTGCTGAACTGTAGTGGTGAGATGGAGTATAAATGATATATCTGCATGTCATGCTGACAGTGACTTGTGCTACGTGCCACTTCAATATTTTTGTGACTTTTCGGTGACCTGACAGCGTGCCAAAGAGGCTACACTGCAGAGTCTTTCAGCACAGACTCAAACATTGGGTGGATTACATTTCACAAATAATTTAGACACCAAGTGCCAAATATATAAAATGCCATGGAGCAGCTGCTTCAATCCACAATGAAGTGTTGCTGTCACACACTGTTCCGCTTGAGTGCCATGTAGTATCATGCCGAAATAAAACACAAGCAGTCAACTTGTGTGGGTTACGGTATAATATGTGGTTAAACCAAGTCTGCTATAAGGCAGGTATTTTCATGTTCTCGGCCTTTATTTTGTCTATTGGTGTTACTTGAGAAAGTGCTGCGAACATTTGACCTTGTAAAATGTTGATCACTAAATACCTAGACAACGCAACTGATTATTCTTCAGTGAACAGTCATTGCTCCCATTCATTGTACAGAATGAGGGGACTGCACTGCCTTGCTGGCACGTTCACATAACAATGTTAAGCCAATTGATTGACCTATATCATATCAAGCACATCCTACATTTGCTTCTGTTGCATTCGGTGGCAGGTGTGTGCACTAGTGTCGCTACTTGGCAGCCAATGTTGGCTGTGTTGTGCAGACATTTACAACGAGGTATTTTATGTTATATGTTTAGACATATAACGAGGTATTTTAAACAACTGCTTTCTTTCCATCTGTTTAGGCAAGTGCCTTGTGCAAGGAGGGTCATGGAGGTATTCTTTGCTTTCGCAGAAAAGGGCTGTCTTGTGCTGGAAAATTGTTGCAGTAAACTGTATAGTACTCTTTTTTTCACTGGATGTAGTATAATAGAATGGCTGCAGGAGACTGATGCTACGCAGCTGAAAGAAGTTTTCCTTGAATTTCATATGGCAACTCAATTGCAGTAACTTCTGAATTGCAGTAACAGGTAACTACTTAATAGCTATGTAAGGTTCTTTCAAGTGCTATTTAGTTGACTACTCGTTTGCTCATTCCACCAGGAAACTATTCTATGCAACTTGAATTAAACATTTTTTTCAGAATTTGGTGCACTTGAGCTGAATGTGATGAGCACATTATTTGTAGTTTTATTGAATGAGTATACCTTGAAGTGTGTTTAAATGGCTCATTAAATTCAGTTATGCACATTTAGAAATATTCTGTTTGGAATGTAAGTCTGGAGTATGATCCAAAATGTTTAGCTTTTTTCCACCAACTTTTGTTCTCCTTTTAAACATTCAGTGAATGGACTTTATCCATGGAAATGTGAACAACTTAGTGCACTGATATCCTGGTACACAGCTTTTCTCTTGCTTCATTAATCCTCACAATTTGAGGGATTTTCCCAGAGCAGAGCTCTGGTGCTTATGAAATGTGTGCATAATTGCAGGGCTGTTCTTCTGCAGTGATGCATAATACCAGCCCCCTTTTTTTTTTTCAGTGAAAAACTTGGCGTAAAACTGGACTCCAAAAATATCGAGCATGTACATAGACTGGGCTGATTCCATGCTGACAAAAGCCGGCCCATTATTGTGAAATTCTCGCATTTAAAAGATCAATCGGCTGTTATTTCTCGCAGCAGCAAACTCAAAAGCACTTCCTTTGCTATACGGGAAGATTATTCCGCACGTGTGCTCCTAGCCAGGCGTAAGCTGTGCCAATAGGCGCAAGAGAGGAGCTCATCTTTCAAAATCAAGTTCGACAAGCTCATTGTTGGAAACAAGCAATATACCTACAATTCAGATGCCGATGTTGTGATCGAACTGCAGTCTTAGCCATCACTGCATCCCCCTACATGCCTCCTTTCAACGCAGGTTTCTAATGATTTGCCTGCACCTGCGAAGACGAACCATCATCGCTTATCCATTGTTCTTTTCAACATTCGCAATTTCTTGCAAAAAATTAAAGATATCGTTGAGGGGTTCGTTTCTGATAATCACGGTGACATCACAATCTTCACAGAATCGTGGCTTAGGTCTTTTGCATGATGCATCCAGCTTCTTTATCTATAAGTGTACACAGTAAGAGAGGTGGTGTGATGGTATTTATCCGGTCCTGTTTCACCTCATGCCAGATAGCCATCAAGAGCACTCAAAAAATTGTATGCATCAAGTTGCCACTTGAAACCGGCTCTACGGTCATCCTCAATTGCATGTTGCCCTCCCCCTAACTGTGACCCATATTTCACTTACGACCTTCACTTGGTACTCACTCACCTTACCTCGCGGTTCCCAAACGCCAAATACCTACTTTGTAGTGACTTCAACTTTCCCGGTGACAGGTCGAAATTGACAGCATCTTCTAGACTTTCTAGCAATTTCCTCCAACTTACCCTACTGTTCAACCTGGTTCAGACTGTTCATCTACCCACTCAAGAAAGTAGCATACTTGACTTAGTTCTTGTCTCTAACCCTGTTCTTGTTCAGGCGATCGCACTTCCCATTGAGCTAAGTGACCACAAAGTTATCACATTTCTCCTGTCTGTACCCACATAAAAAAAATCAACCTATAAAAAATGCATTCGAGACTATAACAAGGCTGACTTTTCCGCCATTAACTTTGACCTAGAATTATTTTATGAGCACTTTTGCCAGTCAGCGCCTTCGAGACTGCTGTTTAAACATCTAATCGATAAACATGTCCCCACAGTACGCATTTGCGGTGATGCAGATAAGCAGTGGTATTCTAAAGCATTGAGAAAACTTATAATGTAAAAAAAAAACTTTCGTGGAGCTCGCACTTCGCCTTTGGCAGTGTGGAGGAACAAATATTTAATATGCTTGCATGAATACACTGACCTTTTGTTAAAAGAAAACAAAATTCCACCATAAAGACTTCAAAAACATTTTCCAGTGTAATCCGAAAAAAAATTTGAAAAATTTTGAAACCTAAAAACCAGTCGCACAACATCACGCTTGTCTTTCCAAATGGCACTGACGTGCCACTTGCTCAGACAGCAAATGTTATGAACTCTTATTTATTTTTCTTCTGTTTTGACCCTCGAGTCCTCTCAGAATGTACAACTTCCCTGTCAATGTTTCAGCGGTATGGCATCGATCGTTATATCAGCTCGGAGTCTAAATTCATCGACAGCTTAAAAACATCAAGTGCCCCAGGACTCGACAACATCCCATCCAAATTTCTAAAAAGTACGAAATTTGTCTCGAGCAACTTTTTTCACATTATTTTCACCCAGTCACTCTTAGAGGGCCCAATTCATGAGGACAGGATGATGGCTGAAGACACGCTAGTAGGTATTCAAAGAAGATAACTGCTCTGATCTATTCAATTACCGCCCCGTAACACTGAAATGGGTATCATGCAAAATATTAGAGCATATAATATTTTCCAATATTGACCGTCACCTTGAAAATACCTTTCTTTTACAGCAGGCAAGCAGCACAGTTTTCGTCTAACCTTATCATGTTAAACGCAATTGGCCAAACTCGCAGCTGACCTGCACTTAAACCTTGATTCATTCTATCAAACTGATGCCATGTTCATCGACTTCTCAAAAGCTTTCGACCACGTAGCCCATCGTCGTCTCATAACTAAGCTCTGCACACTAAATCTCGACCCGCTTGCACTGTCATGGTTAGTAAGTTTTTTTTACACCTCGTTCACAATTCACTTCCATCGGCGGGGACTCTTCCGCCAAAACAGATGTACTTTCCGGGGTTCCTCAAGGATCGGTCCTTCTTCCTCTTTTGTTCCTGATATTTGTCAATGACGTGCCATCTCACATTACCTCGTCCATTCGTCTTTTCGTCAATGACTGTGTTGTGTATAGCAGGATAACCAAAAGTACGGATCATCACTTCAGCAAGACCTTAATATTGTCGCGGTACAGCGCGAACCAAAGGCAGGTAAACATTGACACAGCGACTCTCAGCAGCCAAACAGCAAGATCACCTTCTTTATCTTTGATCAGCCAGAGCTCCACTACCTGGTGTCCACCAAATCCCCTCATCGTCATTTTGGTTCACCAGTGCACTCGCGTCAATATCGTCGATGCATAGTGCTCACGCTGGCTCATGAAATCAAATATCTCCAGATGCAAACACCTGCTCATTTCTCGCAAAAAATGCAACCTTCCTTTTCAGTACACTTTACTCCACTGTGATATCTCAAGAGGATTCCTACCGCTACCTGGGTGTCCTCATAAACAGTACCCTTACCTGGTCAGACCACATCATCAAACTTGCAGCAGATGCGTCCAGGACCATTGGATTCCTCAAACAATTTCTGTGTCCCTCGCCTTTTGCAAAAAAAAAAGTTTGTGTACCAAACGTTCGTAAGGACCAATCTAGAATTACCTTCTGCCATTTGGAGCCCCCATCAAGATTACCTCGTCTCTTCCCTTGAGTGAGTTCAGAATCGGGCCGCCCGGTTCATATCATCTCAGCACAGTAAACATATAAGCATCACTCAGATCAAATTATTTCTTGAGCTTACTCCTTTAGCTTATCGCAGAAAAACCGCGCAGATCAGCCTGTTTCATAAACTGTACCACAACTTTTCTCATCTGCATGGCACTCTACTCATTCCACCTACTCGTAGATTGTTCAACTCTAAAAGTGTTCGATGCCTCCATGGCTCTACTCGAGCCTTTATCAAATCATTCCTGCCTTCAGCAATTGAACACTGGAACAGTCGTTCGGAATTTGTTGTTCAGGAGCGCGACCCAGTGAAATTCAAAGTCTTGTTGTTTTCAGTTTTTAGCTAACTCTCCCACCAGCCAGCTTGTCAATTAGCTTCTTTTCAACAATAAAGTTTTTTTTGTTCTTTTTTTAAGGTATTCATTGGTGTTTGCATCCAACTACCTACAACACATATCAGTTCTTACACTATTCTAATTTACTCTGCCTTTTTGTTTATCTGCTATATAATTACTTTGCTTTTTACATACTATTCAAACACTGCATTTGTGTCATGACATGTCACTGATATTGTCCCCCTTATGTAATGCCTTGTACAGGCCTTTAAGGGTTAATAAATGATGATGATGCCTTTGGGTGTTAACACCTTTTTGCTTGCCTAGCAGAAATGGTTCGAACAATGGTCTGTTGATGATAGGATCGGCTGATTGTGAGAGGTGCATGATAAGACTAGCACATAATCAAGCATAATGCATCGCCACAAACTACTGGCCCAGGTATTTTTCCAGATGGCACTCGTATGAATACCACATGCTGAGATGTAAAAATAAATAGCTTCTGGCTTACCAGAAATGACCGAAGTAGCGTGTCATCAGGTATGACAGCATTGGGCATGATATATGATTCCAAGTCAAATTCTGCATTCTCAGTTTCTCCCACAACAACTTTGAAGAAATGTGTTGGCACAGCTACATGGTTTGCACCAATCACTTGATACTTGACATACTTTTTTCCATCACTCTCCATTCTGGAAAAAAGGGACAATCACAGTACTTATGGTTTCATAAAGGCAGCGTTAATGTATCGCAGATGATGTTTGCAAATAATGCTTGTGCAACCACATAAAAATTCCTTTTATAAACATTTAATAAACATGTTCCTTCTGATAGCATACATGTGCTGTATGCTTGAAATGGTTACAGCACCATGTTTGGAAGTGTAGAAAAGCATGTATGCACCAGAGTTTTAAAAAGCAATATGAAGCTATCTATAGGACTGAGCGTGTCTGCAAACTCCACATAAGTACCAGGTTCCTATATCTAAAAGTAAAATGAAATGGTGCAACTAAATGCAGCTCAGCCACTTTTTGTTATTTCACTTTTTATGTATTTTTTGTACATAATACCTGTTTGCTCCATTGCAAGCTGTTAAATTATAAAAACAATTAAAAAACCGTGTAGCACTGCCCAGTTTAAGGGAAACTAAAAAATTGAGTGGTGTTTAAACAAGACAAGAAAATGCTCATGAATTTCTCAACATACTGACGAACTCAACATTTGGCCACATGAGGAGTTTGGGATATTTTCTCAACAAGCTTGCTTTTATTAAGAAGTGTGTTTGTTGTAAATAATTTGATAACAACAACAACAACAATAATATCTGAGGTTAACCATTTCAGATGCTATCTATGAAGAACTGTCTGTAAATGTGTGAAACCACTACAATGTTACTTCAAGGCACTCAATATTCGATTGTAACAGGAATAATAAGATAATTGTTGAATATATGTGTTCTATAGAAACTCATTCTAATTAAGCTGTAGTTAAATATCTCTTGATCCTGAAGTCCTTGATGCTTACTTTTGGCATTAACAGAATCAAATCTCAAGCTAGGACTATGGTGCAAATTCATTTTTGGTTATGTCAATCTTGAACAAAGAAAAATTCTACTTTTCACATTGCTTGCAGGAAGCCGCATGTTGCACGACTCGTCAAACCTGGTAGTGCCTTCAGAAAAGTGGTCACATGTATCGGTACACTGCAAAATGAAGTTAAATGAAGATGTATTTATTATGCGGGAGGTTCAATTCATCTAAAGTATGACATATTTTGCTCTTTTTTAGCCTCTACTTGATGCAAATAGCAAAAAAGAGTGGTGTATACAATGGTGTACACAGCGTCTTAAAAGGTAAAAAGGGGCACTGACACAAAAATTCTGACCTCACGTTTTCTTGCTAGAATATATTGCTGGGGGCCTGCTTGTTATAACACGGCACATTATCTGCTACAGCATGCGACAGATAATAAAGTACATTATCGACCAGTTTCAGTTTGAGAGAGCTCAAAAATTGACAAGCCGCCAGGTGCAATTATCACAACCTAGCGAGTGCAGCTCTCGGTCACATCAACACACAGAACTGTGACGCACTTCTGCACGGTCTGCATCAAGAAGTCCTTTCGAACAGGAAACGAGACAGCAGTGTCGCCAAATGCAAAACTTTCAATGTGTGCACTGCATATACGGACTCGCGAGCAGGCGCCGAAAAGTATAGACTGCTGGATTAAATTCGGCGAAAGAAAAAGGTGGCTATGATGTCCTCATAACATTTTTTATTCACTGCAGCATGGTGACGTGAGGGAAGTAAGGGGATCCCCACGGGTCATTAATGGTGTCAATACCTTTAAAATACAAACTTGAGAATTGCTGTAAAAATACTTTGGAAGCTGTATTCGCTGTTAATATTTCGCAGATTATACACATGTTCACGGGAATCAATCCCACAGGCTTCCTTGGCCACAAAATTTTGTGTCAGTACCCCTTTAAGGGCACAGGGTAGGGCAAAATTGGAAGAAAAAAAAAAACCTTTTTGTTTTCTTCGCTACTCAGAAAGGGTGGCCCTTTGTACATATTTTCCGCATTTGTGCTTTTCTTAAATAGCATCTTTTGTGGCTCAAAACCAATTTTTCCTAAAACAAGTAGAAAGTGAAAAGGCGCTGTGTTTACAGCCTATTTTTCTAAAAAACTTCATGTACAAAAGTCCAAATGCTTGTCTAGAGTCAGCTGTGTACAGGAAATTGTCAGGTAACTTCTAAGCACTCAGAAGACACTGTGCTCCTTTATATTCGCTCTTCATCTTTGGAGTGCGTCAGTTCGAATGCTATCAGCTCCTAGATTCATTACACCATGTTCGTCATGCTTGTCGATAAGCTTAGATGCTGAGGGTAAAAGAAGGTCTTCAGCAAGTGTGAATTTCGTGGCAACCTATACAGTTCTCTTGTTAATGTGAATAAATGCCAATGACATATTGAGGCGGTGAATACTGAACCAGCAAGCTCTTCATTGTTGAACCTCTCAGCCTTTTCAGCATCATTCGAGGCAAATCACATGCACGGTGACGAGTATGGTCTAATGGACATGACTATTATTTGTGATGCGATTAGACATGATTAAACATGAGAACAGCCTGCAGTAAGTGTTAAGTTAATGGGAACTGAGTCGCCCACCGAGTCTTTGCTGTCTTTGTTTAGGTTCAGAGTATTAAGAATTGCATCATTGGATAATGTTCTTGCATTTAATAATGGTAGTATCACATGAGCCTAAATTATAAAATAGTTAGGATTGAAGCATGGCCTAACTACAGTCTAATTGCTGTAAATCATTGACCACACCCGACGATACATTACAGATAGGGCTGTGTGACATCTCACAAAGGAAGCAAGACAAGCATTACGAGATGCTCCAAAGCAAAAAATTTTCTTTAGCAATGATTACCAAGCTTGTAGCTACTGAATAGAGTAGTTGAACAGTGTTTGTGACAAACTGTGATCGCTTTCCAGCAGTTTTCAAATTTTAAACTCTATTATTTCAAAACCATGTTTTTATTACTTGGGTGTCATTATTTTGTATGCATTTCAAGATAACCAGTTGATTATTTTTTCTTGTATTCTGCATAAATGCATATAACTACTGAAGCAGTATTGAAGTTATGCACTTTACAGTTTTTGTATTACACCTTTGTATGGATGCCAATTAACTTAAAGGTTAGGCCCTAGTGGTAAAAAATTCACTAACATCTGAATATCCAGATTTTAATATATCTGCTTCAGTTGAAAGGGCAGGAAATTTGAAAGAAATGATGTATGGATTATGTGGATATTTCCTTTAGTCACTGCGAAAACGGTACCTCAAATTGACCAAAAATGCCTGGGATGTATAGGGTCTACTCGGCGCCCTTAATGTCCCAATTACACAATATGATTTTGAGGGACGCCATTGAGGAGGACTCCAGAAATTTCAACCATCTGGTGTTTCTTAAATTACGCTGACATCATACAGTACACGGACCACTAGCATTATTATGATTAAGTATCATGCCAACACAGGTACTGATCACTAATGTGTGATATGAATCATGTAGTAGTCTCAAATGGCAGCACTTGTTTAAAGCCACTGTTGAAGGGAAAAAAGCTCATAAAAAGCACATTACATCAGGGCATCATTGGACATTATGCAGCAGGCAGGCACCGGCCACTGAAACTGAAGTATCATGCATGAAAAGAGATTCCCTCGATGCAGCCAGTGATCGCAGCGTACCAAGCTGAAAGCACACGACGAGCACAGCAACATGCAGTGACTGGACGCCATACGCACAAGCTAAAGGATGTATCTGAAGGGTAGATGTGGAATGAGTACTGCTAATGACAATGAAATAAATTATTTGCTTTGTGAAAATGTTTAATAAAACCTGAGAAAAGCATACGAAGCACTACCTTGGCAAGTAGAGAGGGCCAGTGCAAACGTAGACATTCTTGTAGTGCTTTGTTAGACCTCGAACATGCTTCTCTAGCCTGTTCCAAGAGTCTCTGTTGAATCCTTTGCCAACCTATGAGAGAAAACTTGGGTTAGTAACGTTTCAAGTGCCCAGTATGCAATGGCTGCAGGGACACCCATTGGGTCCACATAGCACATAAACTAACTGGATATGATCATATGGCCAGTCATATGGCCTCTGGACAAGAATATTGCCTAAAGCAGCGGTCAAATTTTTCAAAGCTGTGGGCCTCAAATGGAGTTCTTGGGGTTTTGGGCATTGGGCATCAAGAGTGCAAAAAAAGAAAAGATTGCGCCATGTGGCTGGGGCAACATATCAAAATGTACATTTTTTGCATTAATAAACTTGTTCATTAAAAAAAAGTACGTACTGCATCCATACTTTTTGAAACACAAAATTTTCACCGACATGAATTAGCTTCTTAAAAAAGCATATCATTAGAAAAAAAAAGAAAAACATTTTGTGTAAAAAAAAAACTAAAGGTCCAAAATGTAACTAAAATTTATGATGGTCAAATGTATATGAAGTTCAACAAAATGTTGTAAAACAAAACAAGCCAACACAGTGTGGGTTGTTTATAAGAAGTATATTGAACTTTGACCTCTATAAACAGTCACCATCACTCTCAACTTTACTTCCAAGTGGATATGACTTGTTAGTGCAATGGCTGCAATTTGTAAATTTTAATAAGTGTCATAAACTAATTATATAATACTTCAGCAACAAAATTCATTCATTTTGGTGAATATGCGCTTGGATCTTTTACGAAGGTTATGTGAATTGACCTCCATTACTTCTCTTAAGTAGGTTGAAAAGTTTTTGGGGTTTGAAATCCCAAAACCGCAATACGATTATAAGGGACTCCGTTATGGAGAGCTGCAGCAATTTCGACCACCTGGGATTCTTTAATGTGGATCCAAACATAAGTACACAGGCCTCAAGTATTTTCGCCTCTACTGAAAACGCGGCCGCGGTTTCTGCGATTCGATCCCACAACTTTTGGTCAGCAGCCGAGCACCATAAACACTAGACTTGGATCTTTCCAAGCTGTCTTCGAGTGTACTCAGGATAACCGGAATCTCGTCTAGGGTGCATTTTTAGTTTTTAGCTTCCTAAAAAAGTTAAACTTCTGATCTATAAATCGTTGTTCTTATTGCACATAAACTATTGACATCTGGTTTGGTGCACAACTACTTTAACCAACACTCACAAATTACATGTAATACAGAAAAGGGCAGTTTGCACCATTGCAGATGTTCCGTATGGAAGTCACACTTCACCGCTTTTTGATGAAATGAATCTATTAACCCTACCAGATTACTACCACACAAGCCTCATGAAACACTATTATACATAGGACTAAATAGTGATAACTTTTTGGGCACACTTGCTCAAGTAAACCAGCGGACCCTTTTTTAACAACACTCATCATGTTCACACATGGTTTCTTCCACACACGCGCACAAATAAACTACGGCATGGAGCTGCTGCGATTTCTCGCGCTTTCTCTTGCTGTTTCATCTAAATTAACTAACAATATGAAAATAATGCTAATGATACTTTTTGTTATCTTGCATGTTTTTTTTTTGTTCGTACGGTCTCATGGATCTTTTATGCAATTTTTCAGGTTAAAGTTAGTACATTGTCTTACAGGTTTATTTATTACTTTGATTCACTTATATTATTTGTATATATATATATATATATATATGTATATATTTATGTATTCCCTTACAGTATTGGTTAAAGTTCTGATTGAGCGGCATAGTGTTGCCTGGTTTATGTTATACCATAACAATTTCACTCAAGTTGCAGCAGTGGCAGTGTTGCGCATTCTTTCCTTTTTTAAAATTCACTGAGCTGTTTTTGCTGTTTTTTATGTGTGATTTACATGTGATAAAATTTGAACTTATGTTTTTTCAATCCACACATTATTGTATTGCCCTGTACACTTCCCTGTCCATGCCATTTTGTACGGGGTCGTGGCCCTAATCAAGCCCGTGAAGAGGCTTTTTGACCCCGGCCCTCAGCATCTCAAATTTATTTATTTATTTATTTAGGTACCCTCAGGGCCAGAGGCATTAGAGAGGGGAGTGGGTTACAATAGTTACAAACATAATATAAAACAGAGCAAAAAAAAAAGGTATAAACACAACAAAACCAGGAAAATGCAATGTACTTCAGTGTTACACGTTATACAATGTTAGCTAAAGCAGTTTTAAAAAGTTGGTGGTCCGAGATTGTTGCCGTCAGTGCGGGTAGGTGGTTCCATTCCTGTGATGTACGCGGTATGAATGACTGGGAAAAGGAGTTAGTTCTGCAGGACGGCAAGCCGACTTTATGGACATGATTTATGCGAGCTGAAATGTACCGAGGAGGCAGAATGAGTTCGTTTCGTAGCTGGCTGTGATAGAAAAGCTTATGGAAAAGACAAAGGCGAAGGATTTTCCTACGAGATGATAAGGAAGGTAATCCGAGGCTGGATTTCATAGTGCTTATGCTGGAAGTCCGGTTGTAGTTAGAGAGTATAAAACAAACAGTTATTTTGAACCATTTCAAGTGAGTGTATTAGATTTTCTTGGTTAGGATCCCAAACTGATGCAGCATACTCCAGTTTGGAGCGGATAAGCGTCTTGTAGAGAGTTAGTTTTAGTGTTGAAGGAGCCTGTGAGAAATTTCGACGTACGTAGCCGAGCATGCAATTAGCGTTATTAATTACGTACGTGGTATGCACGGACCAAGTGAGGTCGGTAGTAATATGTATTCCGAGATATTTGTAAGTGCTGACAGATTCCAGTGGAGCATCGTTCAGATAGTAAGCGGGAAATATACGGTTAATTCTAGATACGCGAAGGAACTTGCATTTGTAAGTGTTGAGTTCCATTACCCATGTTTTACACCACACAGAAATAGCGTTAAGATTGGATTGAAGGGTTAATAGGTCATTGTCATTAGATATTTCACGAAAGAGGACGCAGTCATCGGCAAACAAGTGAATGTGAGAAGTAACAGATAAAGGTAAGTCGTTAATGTAAATAAGAAAGAGCAGGGGAGCCAGGACAGATCCTTGAGGGACTCCACAAGAGACGTTCGTTCGGGGTGAGACGTTATCGTTAGCTAAAACAAACTGAGCGCGGTTAGAAAGGAAACATTCAAGTCAAAATAAAAGTTTCGGATCAAGATTAAGATTTTGTAGTTTGTGAAGTAACAACTTGTGACATACTTTATCGAAAGCTTTGGAAAAGTCTAAAAAAATGCAATCAGCAATGGATGAATGATCAAGAATGATGTTTAATCCATGGGTGAAAGATGCAAGTTGAGTCTCGCATGAATAGTTTTTTCTGAAACCGTGTTGACACTTGGAAAAAAACGAGTTAGATTTGAAAAAACCTGCCAGTTTGGAATATAATATGTGTTCTAGTATTTTACAAGGTATGCTGGTTAGCGAGATAGGCCGGTAGTTAGACGGTGAATGTTTGTTACCAGTTTTAAACAGTGCAGTTATCTTTCCAATTTTAAAGTCGACGGGGAGACAGCCTTCATGAAGCGATTGTTTGAATATCTTCGTTAGTATGATTGAACAATAAGAGCTGGTGTTTTTCAAAAATTTAGGACTGATCGTATCTCACCCAGGAGACGAGGAAGGCTTTAAGGACTTGATTACACTTTCAACACCAACGTAGTCAATAATAATAGGAAGCATGGGTGGGTAGTCGCAATGGGGGGTGGTCGGAACAGGGGCGTCTGTAGTTGCTGAGAAATTTCTGGAAAAGGCATCATTAAGGGCTTCTGCACACAAATGGGGGGGAATGGTGTTTCCAGCACTGTCAATCAAGGTTAACATTTCGCTATCTTTGGGGTTAATAACGTGCCAAAATTTCTCAGGATCAGTTAGTAACATATTGAGAAGCATGGTGTTAAAATAGCAATATTTCGCCTTTTTTAGTGCGGTGGTGTACTCTTGGGAGGCTTTTTTGTAATCGTCCCATCGAAAGATGCAGGAGGATTTTTTTTGCGGCCTTGTAAATACGATGCTTTTTGTTTAGGAGACGCTTAATCTGTATATTGAACCATTGAACCATGGTGCATTTTGGTTGGATGTGATAGTGCGAACAGGAATGTGTTTATTTGTTAGTTGTTTCACCTTATCTACAAAAAGGTCCCAGTTAGTTTGAACACTACGACTATCAAACGTGGAGAGGAAACTATCAAGAAATGTGCAATGTGAAATGATGGAATGTTGGACTGAATAAAGTTTCAAAGTTTGAGACAACCGGGGCGGGTAGGTAGGTTGAAAAGTTAATTATTGATTGATTGATATGTGGGCTTTAACATCCCGAAACCACCATATGATTATGAGGGGTGCCGTAGTGGAGGTTTTCGGAAATTTCGACCACCTGGGGTTCTTTAACGTGCACACGAATCTGAGCACACGGGCCTACAACATTTCCGCCTCCATTGGAAATGCAGCCGCCGCAGCCGGGATTCGATCCCGCGACCTGCGGGTCAGCAGCCGAGTACCTTAGCCACTAGACCACCGCGGCGGGGCGAGCCTGTTGAGTGGTCCTTTAATTATTTGTTTTTGAAGTCGCTCTAAAAGTACACGAATCTGTTTAAAAAGGGTACTACCACGATTCTTTCATTTCAGGCTTGTATCCCGAGCTAACCATACGAAAATGACAAACGAAGCACTGAGAATTTTGGATAGTAGGTAATGATGCAGCACGCACCATTATCGTAGAGCTACGGATTAATTTTGATCACTCTGGGTTATTTCACGTGCACCGAATTTTAAGTACATGAGCGCATTTGTATTTCGCGTATTTCACCCTTATCGAAATGCGGCCGCGTCGTCCCAGCTGGTATGGGATTTTAAAGACTCACTGTTAACATGATGAATGTTTAAACAAAGATGCCAATTAAGCAATGTAAAATAATGGCTCTCTTAAAAAAAGCATTCCGGCATGCGTGCAGACTCGCATTACCTTCAGTGGCAATGCTAAACCAAGCTTCTTCGTTTTCAAGAAGTTCGATCATGCGTTTGGTACTTCATTTACCTTCGGATGTTACTAATCCTGCTTGACTTTAGGAAAACGTGAATAAGCCGAACTCACCTGGGGTGCCATATTACTGAGCAGAAACGTTTGATCCACGTCACTTTGACACCGCCGGTGATTACCCGCGGCCGCCAAATGACCACGGTCAAAGCCGCTTTTGTAGTAGTCGGAGTTGAGGGACCGAAAGTACGGGTGTATCTGTGTGTCTTCGTGAAACTCGCACTTTGACCTGTCTACTTTGTCGTTCTTCAACAGCTTTTCCCTTGTCAGGTGCTCAAAGACCCAGTGCGCAGTTCTGTTCCTGCGGTCGTAAGAGAGGACGTAGTCGTCCAAAAATCGGAGGGTGTCGGTGCCGGGAAAGCCGAAACGCATGATCTGCGTTTGGCGGCTGGCACTTTCAACAGGCTCTACAGGAACGATGGCAGGAGAGCTTGGCAGAAGGGTGGCAGCGTGCACATGACCTTTCGCGGAGAAGTGGTCGTACGCACGGCAACTACCCCAACCTGCAACGGCTGCGGCGAGCAGCTGAACCCCTCGACGACTTAGTGAAGTCATTGTGTGCGGAATGAAGTGCAGGATAATACTTATGCACTGAGTGAAAGTAAGGTGGAAGAAGCGCAGACGACAAAACGATGCAGCGTCTGTTGGCGTTGGCGGGTTTGGGGTGCACAGTGTTGCCAAATTAACTAGCAGACCAGCAGTTATCGGCTGTGCTGTGAGTCGACGTGCGTTTTGATTTTCTACACAGCTTGAAGTATTTAGAACAATTGTGGTGCATACAGACCAGACAGTATATAGGTTTTCTTTGGTACAATCACCCAAATTCTCATTAGGTGCCCAAAGCTTTGCGTTTGTTGCCACCGCGCATGCGTCATACACGAACACTTGGATGCGCTCATGCTCAAATAATGCAAACCACGGAGGAAGGAAAAACTTCCTCCGTGATGCAAACCCTACTAACCTTAAGCACTGCGCCGTGCTCTCGACCGGGTTGCAGAAATTAGGTGCCTTTTCTCATCTTCTAACCACCACCACCACTAACCAAGCGTTCCATTGTTGCCCGCCGCGGGGGTCTAGTGGTTAATCGGCTGCTGACCCGCAGGTCACAGGATCGAATCCCAGCTGCGGCGGCTGCATTTTCGATGAAGGCAAAAATGCTGTAGGCCCGTGTGCTCAGATTTGGGTGCACGTTAAAGAACCCCTAGGTGGTCGAAACTTCCGGAGCCCTCCACTACAGCGTCTCTCATAATCATAATTAGGACGCGTTAAACCCCACATATAAATCAGCTTTCTATTGTTGCGGTGCCAAATCATGTGTGATTACCGCATGCAATGACGCACCGGGCCACCAGCAGGTGCTGCGTGGCGCTATAAAAACTGCGTTAATGATTTCTAAGTTCACCTCGATAGTTGCTGTAAATATAACTGATGTGTAAAGCATAATAAATCCACACAGACAGTACCAATGCTTGAAAAAAAAAGAAAAAAAAGCACACCTCAGGCCCCCTTGGCATTTCGGGCTTGCTGCAGGGGGCCTCCTTGTCCAGTACGTTCCTGACGTGCTGCGCCAGACGCGGCCACCAGGTACAACTTTTTTTTTTTTTGCCTGGCTTGGACAATGTACAGGGCAATCATTGCACACTCACATTATATATAATAAGAAGGAACATGCATTGCCATCAGTCCCACTTGGACTGATGTTGTCCACTTAAAATATATTAAAGGTTGCCAGAGGTTCTAACCTTGACAACCATTCTGGCACGATATCCTGTATATTGCTACACTCAAATAATACGGACATACTTTGCCTGAAATAAACTACTGCTGGCTTTGCATCCGAGTCAAAGTGATATCCGGCCATTCGTGCACGCCATATACAGCGAAGACTGGTCAGCGTACATCACTACATCAAGTGGGACCCCATCATTGCTTACTGCAAGATACCTTATCCCATGTAGATCTAGTGGAAAATCTTTCTTTATTGTCCTCTGCAATATGCCCCCAAAATGTATACATTTTTGTCCCAAAATGTATACAAATGTATACATATACCCCTTCCCAACAATGCAAAAAAAACATGCTTTATTGTTTCTCCATGGTTTCTTATAAAGCAGTGTGAGCCCCATGGTGTAAAAAAGCCCCGTTACTCTGTGAATGTCCTTACCGATAGTGTTCCTGTGTGTAACTCAAAGAAAAATGTCTTCACCCCTGCAGCTAGGTACCTGCATGTTTTCACCCGCTTCAGAACATTCAGTCCCGGTCTTTCACGGTTTATGACCCTGTACAATGTTACTGGCAAAATCATACCACATACATCTCTGTACAATTCTTTTCTTCTAACGCTTGCTAGATAGTCCCACGGAAAACGAACAGATAAAAAACGCACACCGTCGACCACTTCGTTGAGATAGCCACGCAACGCCACGGGCATTATTAGTGACAAGTTCTGGTCACAAATAGGTGCGCCAAACCGAGACTGCCTTCCCATTCCGAGCGCCATATAAAAACTGCGAACACTAGCTCTGTGCAGCCTTTGCATGTTTACCCTTGAATAGTGTAGCAGTGGCCACCACGTACAGCTTTAATGCCTAGAAGTATATATTCTAGTCACTATAGTTCAGCTCTTCAAAAAACGTTGGTAGCAGCGCGTGGGTAGCAGCTGCATGTTTCGAACCTACGACCTCACGCTCAGAAGCTGAGTGTATCATCCAAGTATCTCCCACTGGCGAGATAATGTACACGCGCTACGCTAAAGTACCGTTAGATGGCTGGTCTGTTGTTCACTCTGCTCTGTGGTACAGTCTTCGGATCCGAGCTGGACAGAGCTGCCTCCTACCCTACAGTGTTGTGTTGTGCTCTAGGCTGTAGAGGTGGATTGTGTGGGCATTCCCATACCATGTGGTACAGGGTGGCTGTTTCAGTTAAGCATAACTTGCACTGTGGTGTGTATGTGTCGGGATCTATCTTGGACAGTATGTATGGATTTGGGTAAGACAAGGTCTGCAGGTGACGCCACGCTACCTGAGATTCTTTACTGAGCTTTGGCCCCGGGGGCGGAAGTTTCCGTCTTTCGAGTTTTTGATGTTCTAGAATATCTGTGTAGGCCCTCGTGAGACGAGCGAGGACAGCGGCCCTTGCCAATGGGATCCCGGACTAAGGAGCCCACTCACCGACACTCCTTCCTCGGTCGCAAATAAATGCTTTGTTCTCTCTCTCTCCCTCTAATAAAAGTTTATCCAATAATAAAAGTTTATCCAATCCAATCTCTCTCCCTCTGTGGTACAGTGGCGCTGTATCTGTGGCATCATGTTACCCGCAATAACACCACTCTTACTGCGACACGACACTAGTAAACGAGAAAACGCTCGAAAAGAAAATGTGGGTGGAGACGCCATCTTGACATTGCCGCACTATAAACACCGTGACGTCATAATCTTGAAGGTGTCTACTGGGTCCAAGGTATACCTTTTGTGGGTGCTATAGACCTAGAATACGAAGTATCAGAAAACTTCATCGAACGAATATCGCGAAAATACGAAAAATACTTTTTGAAATGTTCTACGTCACACATGAAGATTTGAACGTGAAATTTAAAAAAAAAACGAAACTTTAACCTTGATTTTCTTTGCTCATGATGAACCGATGATAGTGGAGCATGTGCCATTACAGCTCTGAGAGGTCAATATAACCAATTTATTATTTCTCTTTTGTGTCCTCTTGAGGATTTTTGAACGATTCATTGAAACACCCTGTATATGGCCGTTATAAGCGTGTATCCACACGACGGACATATCCGCACAAATTTCTTCCGCGGACGATCGTTCCACACTCTAAATTCCCACGTCCACTGGATGAAATTCTCATGAGGATACAAGATCGCAACGCCAGATTCCTCTCTAGGTATTATTGTATGAAACTATATGCAATAAAACATGCAATAAAAATAAATTTTTAAATGCGCGGATTTTAGACCACAGATAGCTGCTAAACCAAAATTTGAAAAAAAAAATGTTTACGTTATAGTAATGCGTTTCTTACTCCAAACCACATACTGTACCCCTGACCTGCCCAGATAGCAGGGTTCCTATGAAAGCGCATGTCCCCGCTCTCGTTCAACCGCTCACCATTGGTGACGCAACCTGTTCGTCTGCTACTTTAAGGTTGTTTTTACAACACTGGGGTGAGAATGCCTGCATTTTGTGGTAAACTGCTGGCATATATGTGACTATTCACTTAGATGGCTGGTCAAGTAATCTGTTTTGTGCGCTTAAAGGAGCACTGAAATCAAATTTCAAGATCGAGATGTGCCCATCATTCGATCGCTTGGTATGCATATGCCTTCTTCGCCAAATTTGAACGGCATCCATCGCGTGGAAGTTATTATATTTCTATGTCAAACAGCGTAGAAAAGCTAAAGAGAAAAAACGGAAAATAGACCCCCCCTGCGACATCGACCCTAGTGCTACGTGTTCGCTGTGATACATTCCACAAATACCATCCTGAGTGACGATGCCTTAGTAGCGATGAGTACGATCCGAGTGTTCTTATCGTGGTGCCGAAGCGCAGAAACGCACTCGCTCGTCGCGTCTTATCTTTGTCGCACCGGTTTGAATGATTTCGTTAAATTATCAAAATAAAAACCATCTTTAGAAGAACAGCGAAATAAAAGAGCATGATTAAACGTGTACTTGTCGGTCAGCTTGTCGGGGAATCGTTGTGAGTTGCAGGTGAGTTGCAGTCGTCTAGTTCGAAGGATAAAAAAAGCGCAATGAGGGTGTCTTTTCATATCACGTATGTATTACACATCAACACGACCACAAGCTATCAAAAGTGGACGAGCGTGTAGTCAGATATCATCGCTAACAAGTAACATGTAGATATCGTTGAATTTTAGTTCATCTGTAGACTTTGCGTCCACGTAAAAGTGGTAATACCATAGAACTCCTATACACTACCTTACCGTACCTACTTACCATACCGACCTTACTTACCTATACACTACCAATACCGTGTCAACCGGGAGAGGCTGGATAGGTAGGGCCAACTGAAGGCGCAAAACAGAACCTGACAAGCAGGAAACGTATTATATTTCTCCGCTGATGCTCATTCGCGATAGCGATATTGCATTGACCCCTCTGCGTATACCTGAATATTTTGCACGCCAAAACACACCAACATAGCTAACTGAGACACACGAGCGAACATGGCTGAAGCGTGCATACGTACTCGAGCACTTCTGCAGTGCTGCTTGGAACGGCGTTCATTCCGGAATCACTGTTCTGCAAAAGGTCGATCGAAGCAAAATTAATTCGCGAAGTCGCGAATCGCGGAGATTCCAAGCTCCAGACTATCGTAATGAACCTGAGTCGACACTTTATACGGCGACGACAGCAATGCAAATGACAAAACATGACTGAATGTGTCCGCCTAGCAGACGAAATGTTTGCGGAGCAGCTGAGCCTGACGTCACTCTTTTCTGTGGAGAAGTGGTTAGTTGTGGCGTGATCTGGAGGCACCACGGAGGAAGGAGGCACGGAGGACCTTGTTCCATGATAGCGAGGGCCTCTCCTCAGTTTGAGAGAGATTGTGGTTATAAGAGAGAAAAGAAGATAAAAGTGAGCCCCGTAACTGTCTGCATCAGCGTGCGACACCTCAACAGTAGCTCACAAGGGATGGGGGTGAGGAGGGATTAAAAGGATAGGATTAAAGGTTTAGAGAGAAAGAGAGATGCGCTAGGACAGCGAGCGACGACAT